CCCCTAACCCCCCTAACCCCCTAACTGTACGCTCTGTCGGGCCTGTCAAGCAGCTGTCGATATGTCTGGATTGGGTTCATGAGGTGCTCGGTGCGGTAGGTGCGGTGTTGTTGTTGATGTCAGCCGTTGTCGCATCGCTGATGTTGTTGATGGACCTCGGGGGTGGAGGCAAGCACCTCCACGTGCATGCCACGTGCTTTCCCGCCCTCTTTCTGCACCAGGCGTGAATGCCTGATGAACCGTTGTCGGCCAGCGGGAGTAATTTAGGCCCGCCACAGTCCACCACGGATGAGTCACTTGTGCGCCCCTTGGCCACTCGACACGTTCATTGTCCTTCTCTCTCACAATCTTCATCTTTCTCGCCTTTCCACAGCTGCTCATGATCGATTGGAGCCTCATACGTCCTCCTCCTCCTACAAACCTCTGCAATCCCCTCCCCGCCCCGTCCCGCCTCGCCCCGCCCCGCCCCGCCCGCCGTCATGCCCAAGATCCCCTCCGCACCTTCGCTCCGGCGCTCGAAGCGCGCTGCCAAAACAGCCAGGAAGCCCAGGGCTTCCAGCCCTTCCTCCGTCAACCTCAAGCCGTGGCCCCCCTTGGTCAGGCTCGACATGCAGCGCCAGCACCCCAGCGGCTCGGCTGGCGCCGTGCCGTCGTGGGTGCGCAACTCCTGGACCGGGACGTCCTTTGGCATCCCCAATTACGTCGGAGACACCTTGATGAGCCACCAGGCCACCTGGGCCGCCAAGAATTCGTCCGTTACCATCCATGACATGTTCATGTACATGGGCGGCGACTGGAGCTGCGTGCTCGAGCCGCAGCTGTGCGTCTACCTTGCGGTCTGCGACGTCGTCCTCCAGCGGTGAGTCCCAGCGAGTCCTCCAGCGGTGAGTCCCAGCGAGTCCGAGTCCGAGTCCTAGTCCGAGCCGACGGGATATTCCGAGCTCACACCCTCCTGCTCTTCTCCCATGCTGACGTCACAGCAAGGATCAGGAGATGATGTCGCGCGTGTATGACCCGCTGCCGACTTACTCGGCGTGGCGTGAGCGCCGTGCCAAGGATTTCGCCGAGGTCTTCGCCCTGGCGCAGCGCGACTTTAGTGCCTCTGTGCCTGGCCTAGACGTGGGCGCCGCGCGCAGTCTCTTCGCCCAGGTCATCCACGAGCTGTTTCTCGAGGGTGCCGATGCGTGCTGGCCGCTCACCAACGAGCCGTACACGCTCACGCGCAGTCAGCTCGGCTGCTTCGCCCCGCACCCCGAGGACATGGACCGCTACGGCCTCGTGATCTATAGCTTCAACGTCGGTAACGAGCGCAATGAGGGCGCCGTCAACGACGAGCTCGAAGATTTCGAGTCTTTCCGCCCCGCCTTCGAGGCCGTCGCCGGCCTCCGCGGCCTGCCCTGCTTCCCGCCCGGCTTCCGCCTCACTACTCCCAATGTCTCCAAGGGTGTCACGGTCACTACCTCTGCCCAATGCATGTTGCCCATCGGCCCGCCGCCGACGCTTCAGGAGTTGTGGGGCGACGACTGGTAACCTCTGTTCTCACGTTGTTGTAGCCACCGGGGTATGTACCCTCCTCACTGTGTACCACTATCAGTCGCAGTCTCCATGTGCGCTGACATTCCAGAGTGTCTAATTATGAACCTCATGTGTATCCCGTACCAGTTGCCAGTGGGCGCGCAGCGCGCGTAGTTGGCGGGAGATGGAGAAACGCACCAGGTAATTCCGTTAAGGTGCACGGCGTGTCTTTGAACGCGCCCAATGTACTTGTCTCGCTCTGCGTGTCAATGTGGAGTGGCGAGCCGCCTGCGAGTAGGGAGCAGCTCATGGGCGCGAATGTGGCCGTGGTGACACGAGTTGTTCAGCTTCTCGAGGCTGTCGAACGTGTGACACCAAGTCAGCCCACCACGGCAATGGTGGCGAAGGCATGGTCAGCAGTGGAGGTTTAGAGGAAAGAGGATGACGAAGGGCGGCAGCCAACAACATCGAGTGGGGGATGAGGCAAGGAAAGCATCTTATGACGTCGGACGTCGTCGCAGTGAACTGGTTATGGGCTAATAAGTTGTATTTCATGATCTCACGCGACGCCTGATAATTTGGGCATTTCGCTGAACCGCCGTCCTGGTCCAGGGCTCATCGGCTCGATCGGCTCCGACCGTCACCGTCGACCACGCGCTTGGGCCGAGCCTCTTGTCTCTCTGCCTTTTGTCCATCACTCTCCTGACACCTGACGAAGGCCAAAGCAAATCGCATCGGCACCGAAACGTCGACACGAGACGAAACAGCCACGACGCACGATGAAGCACGAGGGGTAGACGGAGAGATTGGGTGCAACTCACCGCAGTGGATAGGGCCGGGCGGACATGGCGCGCACGGGGTTTAGGGCCGATGGCGCGCGGGCCGTCGCGACAGACTCTTGTCGGTATGTACATCGATGCGTTATAGCGCTCGATGCCTGAGCCAACGCTGTCAAGAGCACGGGAGATCTTGTGAGCTCTTGAAGAGTTGGATCTGGGAGCGTTGGGGCTCGAGTCCTCGAGGGCGGTCTAATCTGGAACAGTGGTCGAAAAGGATGCTTCCCCCTGCCTCGAGGACACTCAGTCCAGGTGCTCGCCATGACAACACCGGTGCGTTACGATATGGGTCAGTGGCGTCGAAGACGGTGATGCGGAACGGTGGGGTCGAGGTACGGGGCCAAGGGCGGTGTCTTGAAGGCGGCAGGGAGGTAGGGGGCTGCAGAGGGGTTAGCATGAACTAGCAGGATCCAGAGGGGAACGAGCGATGAGAGAGATGAGAGGGATGAGGGATGCTGGAGAGAGAGCGTTTGATGGCGCTGACGCTCGGATCTCCATCATGCTCGATGTTGCACTTGATGCTCTCTTTCGCCCCTCCCTCCTTCCTTCCTATCTTCCCCCCCATCCATGCCCGTCATGCCCGTCAGCCCGTCAGCCAGCATGGACCTCCTTTGCCCCCTTCTCTCTCTCTCCGATCTCCCCATCGCTCGCATTCAACTTTGCATCCCCCAACCTCATCTCACATCTCCCTCGTCTTCTCTCTTCTCTCTCTCCTCTCACGCGCATTCTAAACCATCACATTCACCTCACCCCAAGCCCGTCGACCACGACGCCAGTGTCATCACTGGTCTCGCGTTCAGCGTTGGCTCACTTTCCCTTTCACAGCATCTTAGGCCCGACAGTACACGTTGATCGCGACCACACGCAGTGAGAACGCCCTGCTGGGCGTGGAAACCTTCGCAGCGGCTGACACTCAGGAATCCACTTGACTCGTCATGAGTGGGGGGAAAAATCGCCAGCAGCGGCGCAAGGCGTCAGCCGGGGCCGCTGCACAGCAGCAACAGGCAAACACGACGTTTCCATTCCCCATGCCCATGCCTATGCCCCCTCACACCCGCCAGGACTCGACTTTCGGCCCTCCCGGTGGTTGGCGCGCCGGCACACCTCCCACTTCAGCACACCAGCTTTCCTTTGCACAGCAACCCGGCCAGTCCATCTCAATCCAGCCAGGTCAGCCAGGAGGCTCGGTGTCACTTCCACCAGGTGCTTTTCCCGGCGCCTATCCGTTCTGGCAGCAGCCGGGCGCTTTCAGCCCCGCGCCCACTGGTATTCCAACCAACGTAGGGCGCCACGGCCGGGGTGACAGCAGCCACGCCTCGAAGCGCCAGCGCTACCAGGGCGACGGCCCTATTGGCATTGGCCACCCCGGTATCTCCAACGTAACTAACATCGACCACCGCTCCAACCCTTCCGCCACGCTGCGCAATCGCGCCAACCTCGCCATCCTCACTGACATTCCGCTCTCCGCTGGACCTGGTCCCATCTCACCTGCTCTAGTTCGCCTCCCCGGAACGCCCGGCCCGCCGCCTGGTACCCCCCCAGCGCTTCTGCCTTACAACCAACGCGCCTATACATTGGACTCGGCAGGCATCCAATCGCTTGGTCACTTCCCCCACTCGAGCTTGTCGATGCCCATCGGGAGCCCGCTCACGCGCCAAGGCCCCGGTCCGCTCGGGAACGGTCCTATGCCCCCCCCAAGTCCCGTGATGCGCCGCGCTGTGACCACGCCGTCTAATCTATCGCAGTCGCACACCCGTGTCACCACATCGCAGCAGCGCTTGGGCCCTCCCCCCAAAGCCATCTTGGGCGGCCCAGGTGGACGGACCTTTGAAGAACTCCGGCCCAGCCCGAATACGTCTCTCAAGCCCACCCCTGCCCCAAGTGCCACACCCCACTCAACCACGCCGCTGGCGACGAATTCACAGTGCCAGGATGCCAACACGTTGGGTGATAGTGACCAGGAGATGGCTACAGAAGCAACAACCACGGACATTGTCCCTGCTGCTCTGAAGGAGGCAGTGCACAACGGCAATACAGTCAACGTCACCCTGCCCCCAGCCAAGTACAGTCCTCCCGACTCGCCTGCCATCGAATCCCTCGTAACTCAGGACGCAGAGGGCGAGGAGAAGGACAAGGCCACGGATTCAGTGGTTCAGCGTGTCCCTAGGAAGGAGGCCTACCCCTGGCCCCCCATGCAAGTCGGTGTCACTCCGCACTCCATTCCTCTGCCTCTTTCACCCATTTCAGACGACCTCTCGGAAGTGGAGAGAGCTTTCTCTCCGCAGGTAGCCACATCTCCAGCCAAGTACAAAGTCGTCACTTGGAAGGGTAAGGAAGTGAGGGTTGCCATGCCGGAGGAGGTGAGTCATCTGAGCTGGGAAGTGTGTGGGCTGACAGAAGCAGAGCAACTGGGATGCCCTGCGCCCCGGCCCCATTTCGATGGAGATTGACGACACCGACAGGCCAATTGAAAATGTAGATACACTCAACACTCAGAACACCACTCCTTCGCCGCCGACTTCCCCGTCCCACATGGACAGGTTAGACAGCATCAATCCTACAACACCGCCCACAGGAGAGGCGAGCCTGCCCACCTCGCCGCCGGGATCGAGCCAGTGGGAGACCGCGTTTGAAAGCTCGACCCTCTCAAACTCGCCACCAGCCTTCACCGCGTGGGAAGGTCCTCCCACGCGCAGCCCCACGCCTTCGGACGGGGTTCCACGCTACCCCATCTCCCCCATCGTGGAAGAGAACGCCGATGCTGAGCAACTCGAGCATGCCACTGAGAAGACAGAGACAGCCACCCCTACGAGCGAAGTCGGCAAGATCACAGAGAAGCCCACGCCGGCAAAGCCAACTCTCACGCTCTCGCTTGCTGGCTCGGGCTCCGGTGATGACACGATGGTCGCCACTCCCCGACCCAAGCCCAAGCTCTACTCTGAAGGTGCCGCCTTGGAGCATGACGAGCATGCTGCACTGCGTGAGGTCGTCCTCGGCGCCGAGCAGCCGATTGTCGTCGAGGGCGATGATGACAGCCAGACTGTCGTCCTGGATCGTCTCATGAGCGAGATAGCGTCACCTATGCCCTCGCCGTTCCGCAAGTCTTTCTCCGGCCTTGCTGCTAATCCTTTCCTCAAGCGCTCACTCGGAGGCATGTTACGCCAGCCCAGATCCCGTAGAGGCTCGGACGCTGTTCCGCCAACCCCCACCCGCCTGACCCAGAGCACAACTGCTGACGAGAGCGTCTCCCCCGTCGCCGACAGCGTTCAGAGCGAGATCGCATCCGAGGACGCCATGCGCAGCGTCAAGAGCGTTAGCCGAGACGAGACCGAGCACAGACAAATCACCAGCTTGACGCCTCCGTCAGTCAACGCAGTAGACCTCGGGACTATCGCCTCTCCTAAATTGTTCCCCTCGTCGGCTTCTTCATGCTCTCCTCGTCAGGGGGCATCTCCGCGCCAGGCCTCGCCCAGTCGTCAGTCCTCCCCCAAGCGTCACACAGCTTCGTCCGCTCAGCAATCTGTCTCCCCGCCGATGCATTTCACCCCATCCCCTGTGCGGCAGCCAATCTCTCCTCCGTCGCAATTCACTTTCGCGTCACCCATCCGCCAGCCGCTCTCTCCCCCATCGTCGCAATTCGCCGCAGCACAGCGGTATGCGTCCCCTGTGCGGCAGCCCCTTTCACCGCCTGTCACGTTCTCGCCGCCGCGACAGAGCCCTTCGCGAGAGACATTGTCGCCCGTACGCCGTAACATTTCTCCAACCCGCCAGCCAACCTCGCCCTCGACCAGTAGTCCTAGCTCCGGGACATTGTCGCCGTTCAAAGGCATAGCTCACGTAACTCAGGCGTCGATAGATCACGCAATGGCACAGGACAGCCTAGCGGAGGCTCTCGCTGCAATGAAGCTTGCTGGGGCTGCGCAGGCACCTCCTGCGGCTCCTGTCGCACCTGCTGCCTCCGCTGCCCCCCGCCCGTCTAACAGAATTCCTCAACCTCCCCAACAGCCGCCCGCTGCGCACTGGGCGTTCGGCCCCAGGCGCCCTTCCGCGCCATCCTCCCAGGAAGATCCTGCCAAGAGCGCTCCTGCTTCGCAGGAGTCCAACGACGGAGACCTATCCTGGCGCAACCGCTCAGCCAAGACTTTGCCCCCCATTAACAGCGACCTTCAGCAACTCATTCGCCCGGACGGCGGGAAGCTCAGTGAGAGATCTAGACAGGATGAAGGTGACCACCACGAGCCAGTCAATTCGGCTGACGAGGAGCTCAAGGGCGACGCAGACGCGACCACCCTAGCCGAACAACCACCGACTGGCGTAGCGGCGCCAAAGGCATCCCAGCGGGGGTTGCGGGCCACAAGCGCCGACATGAATGAGATGGTGGGGTCGCAGCCATCTTCGCCCCTCCTCCATTCGTCTTCCATTGTACCATCTACTTCGACTACCTCGCCCATCGCTGTTCTTTCCGAATCGTCTCCGTTCAAGACGTCACTAGTCCTGTCTGTCCCTAATCTTTCTCAAGAATTCCCCAGCTATACCGCCCAGCCCGGAGGGCTATCTCCCCCGAAGCGTCTGCAAGCCACCACGGCCACCTTCGTCCCACGCCCCACTTACCCCGCATCTCCAGAGACTGAATCTTTCCGACCGACACCCTTCACAATGGGGCACTCTTCTAAGGCTTCTGATGCCTCTTCCACGTTCACCTTCGGTCCTCCTTCCGCCCAGCCCAGCCCAGGCAAGATTCACAGACGCTCTCCCAGTAACATGCATCGCTCCACCTTTCAGGTGCCCGCTGGCGCCGACCCTATGCCGCAGGAGCCAGTAAACAACGGTCTTGGTCTCTTCACCTTCACCAAACAGCTACGTCCGAATGCGATTGAGTTCAAACCCGTTGGCGGCGCGGCGAAGCCACGTTCGAGTTCGTCGTTCACGGGAAGTGGCTTCCGCCCGCCCGCTCTTGATCTATCAGCCGCCGCCCCATCCTCCCGTGCTTTCGCCTCCTTCGGTCCTAACCAGATGACACTTGGTCAACCGTTCGAGTTCAAGCTCGCCGCGAGCAAACCTGCGTTGATCATCCGCAAGCCTAACCCTATTCCCATCCTTAGACCCAAGGGAAGTTCGGCAGACGAAGTCATAGTGTCTCCGCATCGACAGCATGCGTCGCCCCGGGACGACGGTGTGGAGCTCCCACCTGTGCCGTCAGACAAGGTGAGCTGGACATCAGCATGTCGGAAGTTAACACAAGCCCCGAGTGAACCACTCGCCTGAAGAGGCGCGCGACTCACCACGTCGAGGAAAGCACACTTGCAAGCGATCATCACAAAACTCACACTTGCCTAAGGCATGGCTGGGTAGATCACAGCCCGCTACACCAGTCGACACTCCCAGCGACGCCCAGATCCACCAATCCATGCCCATCCGCCTCGACAGTGGTGGTAGTTCTGGCAAGGTCCGTGCTTCCAGCGATGGCGCTCTCAAGGTACCAGTTCAGACTCCACCTGCAGTTTCGACTGGAGGAGGCTCGTCAACTCGTTCCGTCGCCGAGCCCAGTGGCGAGGCCAAGAGTCAGAGCAGTGGACCACCTCCGTCCATGATTCAAACAGTGATCATGAAGCGGAATATCTCGGCTCCAACGATATTGAGCGCCAAGGCCAAGCCGTTCCTCCCGTCGTATGCGCAGGGCTTCTCTGATCTTTCCCCAGCCAAGAGATTAGATGCTTTCCTGCACCACACGCCCCACTCGTCCAATGTCAATGTGGAGGTTGCAGATGAGAACAAGTTTCGGCACTGGACCTTCCCGCAGCCGGACGAGAATTCTCCATCACCGCCCGGGGCCGATTCTCGCCACCTTTCGTTCTCGCAATCTCACAAGAGACGGCACTCTGACACTGAGGACGTTGAGGGTGATGAGGAACCTCCTTCTCGTGCTGTGTCTGCTGTGGGCGGGGGTGCCAGTGTCGCTGGAGAGGGTATGGCTATGAAATGGCCTAACTGGCCGCACAGTGCTACAGTACTGTCACCCACATCCCACACGTACTCTACGACTGATACCTCGGCTGAGTTCCCAATGCGTCGCACGCCTCCGCGCCGCTTGTCGGTCGTGAACACTGTCGTTACTCCGCTTCGTCAATCCACGCCTGAGACCGTCGGCATTCGCAGCCCAATTATTTTACCACGCGGAATGCTCGTTGAAATGCTCACGACCATGCAGGGCGTCGGCGAGCAAGTCATGCAGTCAAGAAGTGACAACCAAAGACTTCTTGACGAGTCAACCAAACGAGCCGAAGCGGCTGAGAATCAGAGCATCATTGCTACCACGGCCCTCGATATGATAAAAGGTGAATACAGCAGGGTAAGCTGCGCTAACCTGAGCAGAATACTTCGCCAAGGCCAGGTCCCGCGAATCCGTCTCGGAAGTATTGGAATCTCACACCGAGCTGCTGAAGGACCACACCGCGCTGTTGCAGGAAATTCACCAGAAAATTGAGGAGGAGACAAGGACTTCCTCCGCAGACTCTGCAGAGCTAGTCGAGAGCACCCACATCGCTGAGCGGGCCACCAATACCAATGAGATGCTTACCGCCATCCTGAGCGGCCAGCACGCTATGATGAGCAGGTTCAGCGAATACACCGAAGCCCACGACGCGGTGTACGATCTGCGATCGGCAACAGACGCGCTCCTTGAAGCGCAAGCGGAGGTCCGCCAGGTTAAGCTCGACCAGCAGCACGGACACGAGCTCGTGCGTCTGCACGACGAAATACGAAGCGAGGCCACGAAGTCTGCCCAGGCGGAGCGCGAAGTTGCTGCTCTGAAGTCCAAGCTTGACATCGCCGAAAGTGTGGGCAGAAACAGGGAGCTCGATGACGTGTGGCGTGCTCTTGTCCGTGCCGACGTCGCCGCTGTCACTGCTACTCTCGCGAAGGTCACGCAGGCTGAGGAGCACGCCAGGAAGGAGCTCAATGCCATGCGCGACCAGCTCGCCAGCCAGAGCGCCGCCCATCAGTCTGCCATTGAGGCCCTCCACGAAGAGGTATGTTCCACAACCTCGACATCAAGCTGAACTCAGCGCGACGCGACTGCTAAGCTGGCCGATGAGAGACATAAGGAGCTCTTAGAGGCTCAGGCGGATGCCAAGGTATTTCGCGGTAAATTTGTTGAGCACCTCGAGGATCTCAGCCTCACCCTCCAACAGGGCTTGGAGAAGAAGCGCGGGGAGGCTGAGCTTGAAAGGGAGACCAGAGCCCAGGATCGCATCGCAAGTCTCGAGATGGAAGTCAAGGAGCTCCGCGCTCAGGTACGTTTCAAAACCCAGGACTCGGCCTGACCTCAGCTGGCTCAATCCGCAAATGACCGGAGCGATCTTAAGGTGCAGCTCACGCAGGCGGTCGCCGATGTTCGCTACGAGCAGGAAAAGGCAATCCGGATGGCGGACACGGAGGCCAACGCCAAGCGCACGATGGAGCTGCAGCTCAAGGCAGAGAAGGCGCGTACTTCTTATCTCGAGACGAAGGTGCAGCGCGCGGAGGCGGATCTTTCGGAGGTAGCGAGCAACCTTGACGCGTGGCGCTCTGCTGCACTAGAACAGCGCATGCGCGCCGAGCAGGCTACTGTGAGTCGGGGTCCGCATTGAGCGGCTGACAGCAGACACACGTCACTGCACTCCAGCAGGAGAACTTCCACTGGCGCCAGTTTGCACTCGGCGCCGATCGCCACCGGCTAGAAGAATGGCTCGCTACTAAGCCCTTCATAGGCGTAGATCACCAACCGGCGTCTTACCCCACTCCGTCCAAGCAGACGCCGCCACGCCCCGCAGCGAAACCCCCCTCTGTGCTCTCGCCAGTAAGCAGACCAGCAAGTCCCTTGAAGCCGAAGAGCACAACACCCGTGGTCTCGAGCAAGCTCCGCATGGTTGTACCCGTGATCAACGAGCCCGATGTGGAGCCGACCTCATGAATGGCAGCCAGATAGATAACGATCCATCATACATATGACATGAAAGTTACGACTACTGACGGAGCGCGAGAGGTTACTATCCGTGCCAGTTGAGTACGCGCGCGATGATCAAGGAGCGGTGTTGAGAAATGTCGCATGAGCATGATGATCGCGATGCTCGACCTACGGAAAGAAACCTGGGTGTTGGTTGGTGCCTGAGGGATGCTATGACGCAGCCGCTGGCAGCTGAGCGCATCTTGCCACCCATTCGTGTAACTCAACCATCTACCCCACAGCCCTCGGCGCATCCCATCGCTTCAACAGCACTTGTCGCCTCGTCGCGCGCAACTCCGATCTCGGCCTCGACCGCTGCAATACGGCAGATTGTCTCTACGCCACATACACCTCCACCGACCCACGCCCCGTTCCCATCTCCCTGACGCGATCGATCTCTCCGCTCGCATCGTCTCCATTCTGTACTTCCTCTCCGCTGCGAGCCTCCTCCGCTCCGCACTCGGGCTATCACTCGGTGTTTCCTCTTGCCCGTGCCCATAGGACGTACAGGCCCAACGAGCTTTCGCGCTCCTCCTCGCTTCGCCCCCAACTCTCACCTCAGCCAACCCAACCAGCGGAGACTCCTCCGCTTCGCGCTCCAATATCGTTCCGTACGCTCAGTTCTACAGCATGGCGGCCTTGTTCCAGGGTCTGATCGACTGGTTGCGCTCCTTGTTCTGGGCCAAGCATCTCGAGGTCACAATCGTGGGGTTACAGGTGTGTCAGATTGGAGTCACCTGAAGTGTCGAGCTAACTTCAGGCGAGCGGGAAGACATCGTGCGTACCGGGCGTGCATTGAGGACGTGCTAACGCGACTGCCCTCGGGTCAAATCGCCACTTCCTCACGTCACAATACTCCGCCTTGCCTCCCTCACATTGCACTCCACAGCCTCGTTAATGTCCTCGGCTCGGGCCAGTGGTCGGAGGACGTCGTCCCGACCGTCGCGTACAACTTGCGCCAAGTGCGGAAGGGTAACGTGACGATGAAGATATGGGATGTTGCAGTGAGTCACGGTCGAGAGTTGGGAGCCGGAAGCAAGCAAGAACGACGAGGGCGAGACTCTCAAAGCACGTCGCGCGGCCTCCGGTACCGATCTCATCCCCGCGCGTGTGGTCCCAAGGGCGAACGTTGGGGATCTTGACTTGCGCAGCATACTAGGTGCATCTGTCCTCTAGCCGTCAGCTGATGGCTGGAGAATCTGCGCTCCACACTTCTCCGAAGCTTGCGTGCCAGACGCAAGAACAACTGTACGACGTCGTCCTCGCACAGGCACAATCTCGGCGCGATGCCACCAACAGCGTTCGACACTGACGCCAGGGCCAGCCAAAGTTTCGAAGCATGTGGGATCGCTACTGTCGTGGAGCGAATGCCATTGTGTGCGTCCTTCTAGAAGGCTATGCTGACGCAAGCTATGTTGTCGACGCCGCCGATGTAAGCTTGCATCTCTGCTTCCAGCGGACATAGCGCTGACCTCAGACGAAGTCGATTCCCATCTCTACGAGCGAGCTTCATTCCCTTCTCGGATTACCTTCGCTAGCCGGAGTGCCTCTCCTTGTGCTGGCCAACAAGAGCGACCTCCCCGGGGCAGTTGGCGTTGACGAGATGATCCGCGACATGCGGCTCGCCGAAATCGGTGGGCGTGTCGTCTCCGTGAGTCATCATCCTCCGCTGCATGTTCACCTCAGTGCTACTCAACCAGCAATAAGACCAAGCATAACCTCGACATCGTCCTGGCCTGGCTCACACAGCGCGCGCAATGACGCATTCGTCTTATCAGCTCCATTCTCCTCAAGCAGTCATCGGTTCCCCGCGGTCTGTTGTACCATCTACTGTAACGCTGGTCTCACTGGCGCAATTGCACGGATTACATTCTCTTCTCGCCACTGCGCAAAACTCACACCCCGCGGTGGACTAACTCAGCGGAACTCCGCCGCTGGGCTTGGCGCCACTCAGAAGCGTTGCCCACTCTCGCCTTCAAGGCGGCTGTTCTCGCACTCGTTATGACGCGCTCCCACACACCTGACCATGGCTGAACACGAGCTCAGATGTTTACTCTGGCTATTGTGCTCCGAGGAAGCAATCTCAACTACAGCAGCTGAAGCACATATATGTCAGAGTTGAGCAGCAGGCTGGGGCTCACTGAATTCCCCTCATTCCCCCGGCCCTGTCACGCTTCAGTCGACCTGATTAGTTGGACAGCATCAGTCCCGACTGATAAGATTCAGAATGAGCACCAACTCCTTGGGCCGGCCCGGCAGCCTGGCGCATCTCCTCAACCCCGTCTCTCCTTCCTCCGAGCTGCCTCTTGACTTGGCCTTCACTCACACCCAAGGTCTCTGACACCGCCGCATTCCCACCAGAGCTGTCCGCGATCAGCTACCACTAGCGCCCCTACTCTTGTCGGCTTCAACGACGAGCACCCTCTCGTCTCGGCGTCACTGCCGACCCCGACCCTAACGCCTGAGCCCACACCCGCAACCAGTCCCTCGGCTCTGCCTCTAGCGGCCGACGCTGCCGCCCTGCTTTCCAGATGGAAGCCAGGGCTCTGTCGACACGCTCGACCCGGCCCGGACACTTCTCGTGATGTGTCACCACGTCGCGCGTGCGCGCACGGGGTCACGCGTTTTCGTGGAGGTCCTGAATCCGCATGGGGGAGATGCTTTGCGTGACCCGCGACTGGTTTATCGGGTGGCAGGAGGGCGTACGTGTCGAGGCCAAGCGGCGCTGGTTGCGTAACGGGCAGAAGGAGGAGGAAGGGGAGGTGACGAGCGGACGTAGGTGTTCGATGGCATGTGCTGGCCGGCTCCGCCCGGCCCGCCCAGCCTCCCCCGAGATCGTGGCGCCTCCAGCCCGCCCAATACCGCCCCCGCCTCGGTGACTGGCCTCAACCGTGGCCAGAAGCGCAAGCGCGAGTAGGTTATGCGGCGCGATCCTGGAGCGACGCCACCCTCGCACCGGTCGGTCGTCACACATACGAATCATATCTCTCTTCTCCCCTCAACGTGCGTGTTACCTTGCATGACAACCGCTACACCGCCGAGGGCCTGCATAGTCGGCTGATAGTGTTGGGTATGACCTTGCATAGTAGTCTCAGTCTCTAGATATGTTGTTATGGGACGTACTGCCTACCTGTGTCTCGTCTCTTTGCCGCCTGCCGCTGTTCTGACGAACGCGTGTCAGCCATGTCGACGCCCAGGCCATATCGGCGATGAATGAACCAGCAAGGTGATCACATCGCACTTGCATTTTAGCAACAGCTGAGGCGTTGTGTTATTGGAGTCTGCCCTCTCGCGTCGTCCAGATCGTAGGGAAGAAGGCGTGTGCTTCAAACAGTGCAGTCATCAGACAAGCAGTCGGTCCCGTGTCGGCGGCATCTTATCGATATTGCCAATTGGCCGAGTCACCGAGCACCCTCGAGCACCCTGGGTGTGAACATCATGGGAATCGCAACCTAGCATCTCAATGAGCTCCCCCGCTCGACAAACCTTGCCCGACGGGTGTAAGTGCCTCTCATCGCCTTGATGGTGGGATGGCCCGAGCACACTGATGCGGGTGTATCCATGCCGTATCTCGGTCGTCAAGCTGCCAGAATTCCGGCGTTCCTCGATGACAACTGACTATGCCGCTGATCGCTTGGCACAGTTGAGAAGCTTATAAGCCGTTAGCTCCCATTGATCTGACGCACTTACCCGTCAACATCTAACACCATGGTGGCCCTCACGTTCTCCGCCCTCGCCCTCCTCTCTGCGCTGGCGGCACTCGCCCCTGCCGACGCCCGCCGCATTCACCCTAACGGCAACACGGGATACTGTCTCACGCAAACCGGCAGCCTCAACTCGGGGAACATTAATGACGCCTCCGTCTCCCTGCAAATCTGCGACGGCCGCGCCTCTCAGAACTGGGAAGCGGGAAACGGGCGCACCCAGTTCCGCATGGGCGGCAAGTGTCTCGGCCCACTGACTAGTATGTCTATTTGGCTTTTCAATCACCATGCCACGTCGCCCCAGCCTCTCCCTCGTGCTAATCCCAGACTATGACGGCACTTCATGGGTTTTCTACTACTGCAGCGAGCGGTCCACCATGGACACAGCCCCCGGTGGCAAGTATCGTCAGCGCGGGCCGATGGGCCGGTACATGTGTCTCGATGTGCCGCACGGGATTGTGCGCCCCGGTCAACGCGTGCAGGGATGGCGATGCAGCGGGCGGGCAGATTGGGCCTCTCAGCGATGGACCATGTCTGGCTAGACAGAAGAATGTTAAAGTAATGCCGGCAGGTATCTGCTGGGCGCACGCCTGTAGGAATGGGGGAGGCTTCGAAAAGGGGCAGTGTATATAGCAATATACAAAATCCAAAATGGGAGATGGTCGGCGAGCTGTACATCGAAATACGTTACATCTCAGTTTGCTCCTGCTGTTACTGCTGTCAGGCGAAGCAAACCTGTCGGCCCGAGTTCCATCTTGGCGCCGCGCACGAGGAGCAACAGTACTGCTTCCATACAGGTGACAGAGAACATCGGGACCATCTTCGGTATGGTTGACTTTAAGGGGAAGACATTGCTACCGTGGGCAAGGAGAGCGGCAACACGGAGCAATTTCGTCTGGCGGGGATATGGTTGCAGTGTGGCTCAGTGATGGAGACATGTGGTCGACTTGCTTGCACCTTAGCAGTGAGCTGGCGACGTATAAAAACCACAAGACCAGAAACAGACGTAGTCCAACAAATCCGAGCTCAAACTCATGACGACAGAACTGGTCGCGGCTGACCCTCATGGGGATGTGGCGGTGGTGCAGCGGCAGCCGTGGGCAGAGCCAGGGAGGGCCGCGCCGGCGGCACGGTGAGGGTGAGAGCTCGTATATGCGGCAGGAGATATTTCAATCAACTTCTCACTCTCGCAATGCCACCCGCCCTCAACATCATTAAACAAGGGAAGGGGACCACTCGCCTTGGTGTCGCGCCTTGTCAACCCCGCCCGTGGAGCGAAGCCGCAGGTGGGGCAAGTTTTGTCTTGAGGGTCACTAGGCCGAGCCTCATTAGGTCTCCTTCCAGGATTTTGGTGATTTGGTGTGGCTGAGACGATAAACTGCTCGCATGCGATCGGTCAACGGGACAGAAATTATACTCCTTACATCCTCTCGCACAGAATGGCACAAGTACGAAAGGATTGACGACCTCAAAGATTGCGGACGTCTCTCTCGAGAGAAGGTGAAGGAGATGAATGCGGTGGCTATCCAATGATACAGTGCACTGATAAGAGTAAAACGGCATAGCTATGGGAACCTGGGCGGAAGACGGGCTTACCGCTGCAAAGCAGTGGAACCGAACACCGTCGAACCAAAAGGCGTCTGCCACAGCCTGTGTTGTCCTTTTTGGACACAAGTTCCGGACATTGATCAGCAGAGATGACGCTGTGGATTAAGAAGTTTTCAGACAGAAAGAGAGAGAGAGGAACACGAGGATGTGACGACTTAGAGCTTTGTGTGGAAGCATGCATCCTTCACGGGATCAAATGTGTCATCCCAAGCGTCTCTGCTGACGTACGGATTCAAATTCTGGCGCCTTCCACGTCCACATCCCAATCTGACAATTGCTGCTGACGAGAAGACTTCCCACCGAGCTGACAAACGGGACCCCCACATTGGACGCTGCAACCTGACGTAACGCCGTCGTGGTGATGGTCTCCTCGGTCTGGTCTCGGTTTCGGTCTCGGTGCGGCCTCTGCCAACGCTCGGTCGGCGCAGTATATCAACCCACCCCGACGGCCCGAGAACGTTCTCCCCAAACTCATGCGCACAGACTTGCCCCTGCGTCTGCTCGTGCTCACCGTCGCAATCGCACTTCTCGGAACATATATAGCGCTCCTCTCGACGTCCTCTCCCTCGATCACAACAACAATGTCCGCAACTACACCAGTCTCCACCACCCAGGCTCCGGCGAAGGATGCCACTGCTCCTGAGAAACAAAAGACCGAGAAGCAGCTCGCCGCCGCGGCCGCCGTCAAGAACATGTCCTCATGGGACTTTCGGAAGTGGAACAAGCTCGCCGACGGCATGGCCCAGTTCCACGCCAAATTCGAGTGGGAGTTCAACCACGTGTACGATGTGAGTCCCTCTCGTGATATCGTGATCTTGTCTCCTTTGGTTGTACAGTCACTGACGCCAGCTCGCCGAGGGCGGATGGAAAGCCAAGGGCATGTCGTTCGCCCGCTTTATCCGTGAAGCCGAGCAGGTCTCGCACCACCTCGACCTACACCACCGCATTGAGGAGGCGTACATCTTCCCGATGCTGGCGAAGAAGCTGCCCCAGTTCAAGGCGGGTGGGAAGGGCTCGGACGCTCACGTCGCCATGCACCGCGCGATCCATGACGGACTGGAGCGCTACGACGCCGTGCTCGCTAAAGCTAAGCGCGACCCCGACGGGTTTGACGGCGCCGAGCTCCGCGCCGTCATGGACAGCTTTAGGGGGGTGCTGTTCCACCATCTGGATGAGGAGGTCAAGGATCTCGGCGCCGAGAGCGTCATCGCTGCCGGGTTCACGCTTGATGAGCTCGCGCGCTTTCCCTTGTAGTCGCCCTCACCCGCACCGCACCCGCACCCGCACCAGCAGCCGCACTTGCACCCGCACTTGCACCCCCACCTCATCCCGAACCCGACCCCACATCCTTAGCCTCAGCATCATAGGATAGACCCAAGAATTTGTAGACCTTAGCATACATGTACGACTACGACTTAGAGATGAGGGGGTGCTCAAAAACTACGTCCAACTCCTGATCTACTACAACTCACATAAGTCATTCAGAGACTGTCAGCGTGGCGAGACTAAGCTTCATTTCCTCAGAAACAATTGGGTAACCTAGCAATAATGAGACTTCGCTCACACGACTACTCATCCTTTGCCCAACGTCGTCAGTCCCGTGTCACGCACTGCAATCTAACAATGATCATTCCGCTTGCAAACTCTATGGACGCGGATGTTACAGGATCCCGCGATAATACTGACCACAACTACAATGCCATGCTGTACCCTTAGTTGGCGACCGCAAAGGCGACGACGCTCGAGTCCGAGTGCGACAGCGAGACCTTGATCTTCTTGCCGCCGGCGGCCTTGGCCGCGTCACCGTGGAGCTTAACCTCGGGGCCCGACTGGGTCGAGACAATCTCAATGTCCTTCATGGACGCGCCCGCACCCTTCGAGGGCACCGAGAGGGCCTTGAAGACGGCCTCCTTGGCGGCCCAGCGGCCTGCGTACGATGCACGCGAGTCGGGCGCCGAGTTGCAGTACTCGATCTCGCCGGCGGTGAAGTTGCGCTCACGGAACGAGTCCGAGGTCGGCACTGAAGAGATGAGCTCGGTGTCAACACCGACGCCTGCGATGCCGCCCTTGGTCTGCGAAAGGAGCGACTTGATGGTGTCGGCGTTGGCGGTAGAGAGAGGCACCTCGGAGGGGAGCTTGCCCTTGAACTCGTATGACCCGTTCTTCGACGGCCCGGCGCGAGCCAGGGGGTTGAGAAGCACAGGGCCCTCGAGCTCGGGGCCGTAAGGCGGCGCGTCCTTGATCTGAACAAGGTTGTTGCGGATCATGGCCTGCGACTGGCGGGCGTACGAGTCGAGCTGGCGGGCGTGGCGCTTCTTCTTGTACTCCTCGAGCTGACCCTTGGGGATCGCGGCGAAGAGGTAGCGGGGGTGAAGAATGGCAGCCTGGCCACCGACCTGGCCGAAACCGAACGAGGTAAGGAGACCAGCCTCGAGACGCGTGTGCTGGATGGCCTTGGAGGGGTAGAAGAGGTGAGGGAAGGCACGGAGCTCCTCCGAGATGTTGTCGGCGTTGGCGTTGCCGGGGATGAGAGCCGACTGGATGGTCTGGAGCATGCCGTTGAACATCCAAGCAGCTGCACCACCCTTGGGGTGACCCGTGAGGTACTTCTGGGTGATGACAGGGACGGCGTTGCCCTTGGAGCGGCCGAGCTGCTCGAACTGAAGGTTGTAGACACCCGACTCGTTCTTGTCGTTGGCCTTGGTCGAGGTACCGTGGCACGAGATGACACCAACCGAGTCGGCGTTGAGACCCCAGACGGCGAGAGCACGGCGGAGAGGGGCAATGTTGGGGTCAGAGCCCTCAAGCATACCGTAGGTGGCAAGAGCCTCCTTCTCCTGGCGCTTGGCCTCGCGCTCGATGAAGTCAACGCGCTGGGCGAACCACTCAGCGTCGTCGGTCTTGCCGGCGACCGAGGCCTCGTCGCGAAGATTGTCAAGCTCGTTCTCGAACCACTGCGAGATCTGCTTGCGGCGGAACGCGAGCTGACGGGCACGGTACTTGAGGTCAAGGATGGGGAGCGACTGCTTGGGGGTGACCTCACGGGCAGTGGAGAGAATACCACGGCCGGGGGCGGGAACGGAGCGGCCAGCCTTGTCGGTGTGGGTCGAGGTGTAGGCGACAATACCCTGGATGGAGGCGCCCATCTCGATGGCAGTCTTAGCGCTCATGAGAATGTGGACACCGCAGCCCTGAGACTCCATGAAGCCGGCACGAGTCGAGGTCATGGGGCGCGAGAACTCGTTAGGCTCACGGCCGTTGGCGAACTCGGTCTCGGCGTTGGAGGTGGCCTTCATGTTGGCGAACTCGAACGAGCCCTCCTCGGAGAAGTCGTCGTAGCCACCAGCGATCATGACCTTGGCCTTGCCCGAGAGAATCGAGTCGCAGCCGATCTCAACGGACTGGAGAGCGGTGGCGCAGGCACCGACTGGGATCTTGACGGGACCCGAAGCGGACATGAGAAGAAGGTTGACCCAGCCGGCAACAGTGTTGATGAAGGTCTCCTGGAGAATATCCTTCTGGACGTCCTTCTCCTCGCGACGGCCCTTGAACATCTCCGAGAGCGAACGCATACCACCCATACCCGAGCCGAGCGAAGTACCGACCTCCGAGGGGTGGATGTACTTGTAGAGCTCGTAGGGGTCGGTGACACCCGACATGATGAGCGCCTCGGTGACCGAGACCAAAGCCCAGAGGGCAGTGCGGTCGACCTGGGAGATAATGTCGTCGGGAAGACCGTAGCGCTTGGCGTCCCAGCCAGTGGGGATCTGGCCAGCGACCACACGGTCGAACTTGACGGCCTTGGGGAGGAGAACGCGAGCACCCTTCTTGAACTTGACGAACCACTCGCCCGAGTCCTGAGCCCAGATGTCAACAGCGTCGCCCTGCTCACGCTTGAACTTGGCGGCGTCGTCGGCGGAAACCTCGAGGGGCTCGAGGTCGTGGTTGAGCTCAATCTCCTGTGTGAAGCCCTTCTTCTCGGGGTCGTAGCCGAAGAAGAGGTCTGGCTCAATAATGCGGATACCGGCGTGGTTGAGAATCTCCTTCTCGTACTTGTTGCGGATGTCCTTGTCGTCGACGGGCTCGCCAGACTTGGCGTCAACCCAGCCAACGTAGGGGTCGGCCATGCCACCGGCGTTGGGGAGCATGCCCTCAAAGTGCTTGATCATGCCCATCATCCAGGCCATCTCGATGATACCCTCAATGGTGAACTCGCCGCGGGCCTCCATCTCCCAACGGGTGCGGGCGGAGCCCCAGGGGCCGATCTCGGCGAAACCAGTGCACACGACAACCTTGTCGAGGTCAATAAGGCCCTCGAGGTGCTTGAGCTCGTTGAGGACCGAGTCGTCCTCGACGGTGGGGAAGTCGAACGAGAAGTTGGCGCGAGGAGCGACCGAAACCTTCTGGTGGAGGCGCTCAGCCTCGGAGCCGTTGGTGACCTTGAAGTCGGCACCGTTGTCAAGGGCGATAGCCTTGCGGAGGTCGGCGACCTTGTTGATGTCCAGACGAATAGAGGTCATGACGTCGGCGAGACCGGCAACGCGGTCCATACCACCGTTGAGGTCGGCCCAGAGAGGCTCGATCTGAGTGATGTCGAAGATGAGGGGGTGCATCAGACCGAGAATGTTGAAGGCCATCTCCTTGGCGGAGAAGGTGCGGACACCGAGCTTCTCAAGGCCCTCGGCAACGAAGTTGGTGGCGCTCATAAGACCAGTGCCACGGGTCCATCCAATGACGGCACCGGCAATGCAGAGGTACTCGCCCCAGGACTCTGCGCTCCAACGGTTGAAGAGCGTCTCGAGCGAGATCTTGGACTCGGAGTAGAGACCGTCGTTGCCAAAGAGACCGTGGTTGGGCGAAAGGGGGAGAACAACCTGGGTCGGGCGGGTAACAAACTTCTTGGCGGCCTTCTTGGTCTTGACTGCACCGAGGAGGCGGAGAAGGTTGGTGAGCATGAGACGGTGGGCCAGTTCGGACTTGTCGTCAATGTTGTCGATCTCACGGCCGTTCTCGGGGAGAGCGGCGAAGGGGACAATGTAGTCGAGGTCGATGTTGAGGGTGTTGTAAATGTAGTCAACGAGCGCCTCAGTGTCCTGGCGCGAAGCGCCGTTGAAGGGGACGACAATAAGCTTGGAGCCCTTGGAGCCGACCTCGTGGAAGATGCCCTTGTAGTAGTCGACGACGGCGCGGCTGTAGCGCGAGGTGGTCACGACACAAGTGGCGCCACCGGCGAGAAGGCCCTGGAGAATCTCGACACCGATCGAGCCACGGCCGACACCGGTAAGAAGGGCGGCCTTCTTCTGGAAGGTGACACCCGAGGTGGCAATCTCGGTAAGGACGTCGAGGTAAATGTTGGTGAGCTTCTTAGAGTAAGCCCAGCTGGTGCCGGTCTTGCGCTTGAGGTGGAGGAAGGGGAGGTGCTCCTCGTCGACCTCGGTGCGGTCTTGGACGTTGGGGCGCAGGAACTGCGAGCTGTCGCGGCGGGGCTTGTCAGCCGCGTTGCGGGCACGAGTGACCGGGTCGTCGGCCTCGGCCTGCTGGCCGAGCGACTTGACGACCTCGCCGTACATGGACTTGATAGCCGCCTTCTGGGCGGGGGTGATGGAAGGCTGGGCGTTCACAAGATCCCAAAGCTTCTCTGCGAGCGGTTAGCGGTGGTACGTTTTAGCCACCCAGAGTGTCGGGGTACGCACCAATGTCGGCCTGGACCTTCTCAAGGTTGACCTGAGACTCGATCTCGCCACCGTTGGCCATCTCCTTGACGTAGGACTCGAGCTTGCGGACCTTGGTACGGGGAATCTCCGAGTACTGAATGTCACCCTTGGCCGAGACCTCGGTGTGAGGGGCCGTGGGGAGAGCCACGTCGCGGTAGACGGGGGGGAGGTCGACAACCTCCTTGCCTGAGCTTGTCAGCGATACGCTTCTTGCTATATCGCCCGCCATATTCCTTGACCTGGACACCACACTCACAGTTGTCAATGAGAATCTGGCCGAACTTCTTGACCTTCTCGTAGTTGGGGCCCTTGGAGGGGTCCACCGAGTCAATGTGGTACTTCATGTAGTCGAGCAGGTTCTGGTCTGCGCGGTTCATCTAGGAGCGCGTCAGCATTTCGCTCCTTGTGATGAGGCTGGCGGTGAAGATTCCACCTGGGGAGACCGCCGGGGACCACTGGGGGGACCGGAGGAGGTCACCTCGGCAACTAAACTAATGGTACGCACGATGGCAATGCAGCGCGAGGTGAGCTCGCGGCGCACCTGCGCCTCCTGGTCACGCGTAGCGGTCGACATGGTTGTAGCTTGCTACGTCGCCGACGTTTGTGGGTGTGCGTTGGAGGAGAGGAGGTGAGGAGGTGAGGGGGGAGGGGGGAGAAGGATGAGGAGGAGGGAGGGGGTGGGAGGGGAAGTGTCGGTCGATTTGGGGCGAGGTGGAGGGGGAATGGGAGAGGAGGAGGTCAAGGAGGGAGTGAAATGGAAAGAAGTCAAGTGGAGACCCGACAGATGATGAAGAGGTCGTTTGAACGAACAGCGAGGAGATGGAGAATGATTAGTTTGCCAGAGTCGAGTAGTCGTCGGTTGTCGTGACCAGCAGCACATCTAAGCTGCAAGCAGCGGCCGGGGGGGGGGGGGGGGGGGGGGGGGGGGGGGGGGGGGCGGCGGATGGGATCGGCCCCTCTCTCTCTCTGTGGGTGAGGGAGGATGTGACTGAGAGTATCCTTGTTCCTAGGACCCCACCCCCCAGCCCTTGGCTTGTATCCCCACCAAATGAGTATCATGGTGCCCCCGCCCAAATCCATCCATCCCAACCACTTGACACGTGGCTACACCTCCGTCGTGCAAAGCAAAGCCCTCGGCAAACGGCCAAATACCATCAGCGCCATTGCCCCTTGACTCGTTCCCCAGATCCCCAACGCATCCGTCTGCGATCCTGCCACCTGCGGAAGAAGCATTTTGACCCATCTGACCAACAGCTGCCGCGGGAATTGCCAGCAGCCAGCAGCCAGCAGCCAGCAGCCAGCAGCACTCGCAACCCCCGCAGTCGGCTTCGGAGCACAGGATATGCAGGAAAAATCATCGTGCTGCTTGGTCCCGCCACCCGGAGGCAAGGCCCGAGAGTGCAGGTCGGCTCGCGGCTCGGCTCCATCTGTGCTCCATCCAGTTACCAGGTCCGCTCCGTGTCTCATGTCCGCAACACTACCAGGACAGTAGATCACCAGACCTTGCACCAAGACCCTGCATCCCGCCGGCGCTGATTTGATCAAATGACAATGCATGAACTGTTCAAGTCTTTCACAGGCAGTTGCCCTGCGCATGTTGGAACGCTTGCGTGTTGGTGAAGATGTAGCATGTGGCAGGTATGCGAGTGAATACAAAATTCAGAAAAAGCTGTTTGTAATTTTCGTTCCCCACGATATCAGAAATGGCGTTGAAATGTTGGAATTTGTGCACCCCCACAAGGATCGAAAGGATCGTTATCTTGGTGTGGGCGCGGCTATTCAACTCTATTCAGGTCCCATCAAGTGCTGATTATCTACTCGGGGTTTGACGGCGTTGTTCGGCTTATCACCCTGTGCCTGGCCGTCGTCGTGGGAACACCCAGCAGTGGTGGTCTTTGGGGTGTGGGGGTGGAGACACACGTCGTTTTATCTTTGCATCTCAGGCCGGCGCAGTTACTACGGCACGCCCTGCGAGCAGCACTATCGGGTACAGTGGGGGGGGGGAGGTGGAAGAGTGTGACCGGCGGCGGGTGGCGGGCGGGCGGGCCGAGATGAGGAAACGTGATACAGGCACAGGAATACACGAGATGACACGAGGTCAGATACTGGACGGGACACTGCCACTGCCACGCCATCCATGCACGCCAGAAGGAAAGAAGGAGAGGCGAGCGAGGGATGGCGCCACAGGTCTGAGAATCTGTGTGGCAACTTGGCCATCAATGCCGTATCGTGCGTGGCTGTGTTGGAGTTGGGGCACCTGTTGCATGTTGGAGTGGCAAGTCGGACATCGGGAACTGACGAGACATTCTGTGGAAACGAGAGATGCAGCACCGGTAGAGGGCCAGAGAGGAAGCTGAGAAGCCAGGAGAATGACATTGCAATGTTATGTGCAGAGCATGGTTGGGGGGGAGGGGGGGGGGGGGGGGGGGGGGGGGGGGCATGAGCCACCTTGACAGACAGAGTACAGACATGGAGACATGCATGGAATACTGCACGGTCGTTGTGAGGGGATGGAGGGGACACATGCCGGTGGGTGGCCAAGGTGGAGGTGGTATCGGAAGCCGGGGTCGGAGTGAGTTGCTTCTCAAGAGATGGGATAGGCCATGGTAGGCGAGGATAGACGCCGCTCTATACACTCAGGCACTCGGCCCTCGGCCCTCGGCCCTCGTTGACCAAGTTGGGCCATGGGCCAGCTGCGCGCAGGTTGACAAGCAAGTGTCAGCGTGCGTGTCAGGCCGCGATGCATGCGTGAGTGGGGGGATGGGGGATGGGGGATGGGGGATGGGGGATAGGAGGACGAGTGTCCAGGAACAGTAATAGGGAGAAAGAGTTGGGCGGAAAGTCATGGGGCGGCTTAATCGCAAAGTCCATTGGGGGCGATGGGGGCGATGGGACCCTCACCCCTCACCCTACCCTCTCCAATCATGCCACCCACCAACGGCGGCCACAACCCCAACCTCACACAATCCTCCTTGTCCTCGCCTCGGCCACCTCCCCCCTCCTTCCCTCCTTCCCTCCTTCCCTCCCCCCCCCCACAGCTCCCACTGCCCCCGCTGGGCCGCTTGCTCCGACCATGCCGACTGTCACTCTACTTTCCCTCATCCTCGCTCGACATATGCTCTTCAACATCATCAACTGACTCTCTGTCAGATCCCATCCATCTTCTTCGACTTCTTCTTCTCCTCCTCTCTCTCTCTCTCTCTCTCTCTCTCTCCCTCTCCCCCCCTTCCCCAACACACATCACTCGTCTTCCACAACTTTCTCTTTCCCCCCTCCCCTCCCCTCCCCCTCCTCCTCCTCACCTTCTCCTCTTGCCGCAACGTCGGGACTGCAAGAGTCCATCTCGCCCATCATGGCGTCCCTCTTCAGCGGTCCCCCCGCCACGCGCCCCCTTGTTCTCCACTCGCAGGCCGCCCGTGTCAACATTCTCGTCCCCGCTTCCCCCCTTTCCGCCTGGGTCGCCTCTGAAGTCCTCGCCCAGGAGTTCCACGACTCCCCCTTGAGCAAGGATGACGCCCCCGAGCCCACCGCCGACGACGACGACGATGGCGCCGCCGTCCCTACCGGCCCAGACAACGAGTCTCAGGTCAAGCTCCTCGCCCGTTTCCTCGGCTTTGCCGCTGACAAGCTCACCGCCGGCGGTGACAACACTTCCGAGATTACCCAGGTCGTTCTCGCTGCGTACAACCGCTTCAACGAGCTCTTCCTCGGCACCGTGAACGTTCACTCGCTCCTCCAGTCTTACGACCCCGAGCCCCGTGCCGAGATCCTTACCGCCTACTTCAAGGCCTTTGCCGCCCTCCGCGCCGCTCTCGGCGCCAAGGAGGTGCCCGCCGCCCACCCCTCGGCCCTTATCGAGGCCGCCAAGAATGGTGATGCCGAGCTTTACGGCCTCTTTGGTGGCCAGGGCGTCAACGAGGTAAGTCGATCATAATCAGATCCCGGAGAACCGGGGTCAAGCAAGGCAAGGCGCACATCGCTAATTCTCTCAGTACTACTTTGAGGAGCTCCAGTCGCTCTTTGACATTTACCGCCCATTCGTCGAGGACATCCTTACGAGCCTCTCGCAGGAGGTTACTGCCCCTCTTGCCGACAAGGCGACTGCCGAGGGCTACACCTACTACGTCGACGGTCTCGACGTGATTTCGTGGCTCAACGGCTCCAAGCCCCGCCCTTCGGTCGACTACCTCGCCTCGATCCCGGTCTCGCTCCCCCTGATCGGCATCACCCAGCTTGTCCAGTACATTGTCTCGGCTCGCATTGCCGACGTCACCCCCGGTGACCTGCGCAGCATTATCAAGGGTGCTACTGGCCACTCGCAGGGTATCATCTCTGCCGTTGCCATCGCGGCTTCCTCGTCGTGGGAGTCGCTTGAGCAGAACATTGCAAAGGCGGTCAAGCTGCTTTTCTACATTGGTCTTCGTGGCCAGGAGTTCTTCCCCCTCCTCTCGCTCGACCCCGAGATCGTCGCCGACGCCAACGAGCACAATGAGGGCACTCCCACCCCAATGTTGGCTGTCAACGGTCTTAGCCGCAAGGCCCTCGAGGGCCACATCGAGAAGGTTAACAAGTTCCTTCCCGAGAACTCCAAGGTTGGCATTTCGCTCTTCAATGCTGCGACAATGTTCATTGTGACTGGCCCCGCCAAGTCCCTCTACGGCCTCGCCACCGCCCTCCGCAAGGTTCAGGCACCTGCCGGCCTCGACCAGGGTCGCACTCCTTTCTCGCAGCGCAAGTCGGTCTTCACCATCCGCTTCCTGCCCATCAATGTGCCTTTCCACTCGGACTACCTCATCGGTGCGACCGACAAGCTCCTCTCGGAGGACCTCAAGGACGCCACCATGTTCAAGGCGTCCGACCTCGGCATGCCGATTTTCAACACTGAAGACGGTGAGTTCGGCTTTGAGAAATTCGCCGATCGTGGCACGGCTGTTTCGCATTTGAAACCAAAGCTAATCTTATCTAGGCTCTGATCTTCGCAAGCTTTCGGGTTCGCTCGACAAGGAGCTCTGCGACCAGATCTTCACCAAGCACATCCACTGGGCAAAGGCTTGCGACTTCCCCAAGACCGCAACCCACGCCATTGACTTTGGCCCGGGCGGCAAGACCGGTGTCGGGTTCCTTACTGCGCGTGTCAGCGAGGGCCGTGGCGTCCGTGTGGTCTTCACCACCGAGAAGGGCAAGATTGGTGCCGAGCTCTACGACGCGGTCAATATCCGCCGTGAGCCCATCTGGCACGACCAGTTCCACCCTCGCCTCGTCAAGACCGCGGACGGCAAGGTCAACATTGACACCTCGTTCTCTCGCCTCCTTGGCAAGCCCCCCATCATGATTCCCGGTATGACTCCCACTACCGTCGGTGCCCAGATGGTCTCGGCTACTCTTAACGCGGGTTACCACATCGAGCTTGCCGGTGGCGGTCACTTCAACGAGGAGGTGCTCCGCGCCAAGATTGCCGCTATTGAGCAGCGCATCAAGCCCGGAATCGGCATCACCCTGAACGCGCTCTACATCAACATGAGACAGTTCTCGTTCCAGTTCCCTCTCTGGCAGCAGATGCGCCGTGAGGGCCACCCCGTTGAGGGCTTCTGCATTGCTGCCGGTATCCCCTCGTCGGAGAAGGCGACCGAGATCATCGACGCCCTCCGCGCCGCCGGCATCAAGCACGTTGGCTTCAAGCCCGGATCCGTTGAGGGTATCCGCCAGGTTGTCAACATTGCCGCCGCCAACCCCGACTACCCCATCATCCTCCAGTGGACCGGTGGCCGTGCCGGTGGACACCACTCGGCTGAGGACTTCCACCAGCCCATGATCGCTACTTACAGCTCGATCCGTCAGTACCCCAACATCTGCCTCATCGCCGGTTCCGGCTTTGGTGGCGCCGAGGACGTCTGGCCCTACATCTGCGGTGACTGGTCCGTCAAGATGTTTGGCCTCCAGCCCATGCCCTTTGACGGTGTCCTCTACGGCTCGCGTGTCCTTGTCGCCAAGGAGGCCGAGACCAGCCCATCGGTCAAGCAGCTCATCGTTGAGGCCCCCGGTGTCACCGATGCCGACTGGGAGGGCACCTACACCAAGCCCACCGGTGGTATTCTCACCGTCCGCTCGGAGCTGGGTGAGCCCATCCACAAGATTGCCAACCGCGCCGTCGTCCTCTGGAAGGAGTTTGACGACACTGTGTTCAACATGCCGCGTGACAAGCGTCAGGCATGGCTCGAGAACAACCGCGAGTGGATTGTCAAGCGTCTTAACGCCGACTTTAACAAGCCCTGGTTCGGCCAGAAGAAGAGCGGCGAGATTGTGTACGACATCTCGCACATGACCTACGAGGAGACCATCACCCGCATGTTTGACCTCATGTACGTTGCCAAGCAGAAGCGCTGGGTCGACGTCTCGCTCCGCAACCTTCTCGGTGACTGGCTCCGCCGCGTTGAGGAGCGCTTCGCCGGTGTCGACGGCGCGCGCACCAAGGAGTCGCTCGTTCAGTCGTACAAGAGCCTCGAGGACCCTACCCACGTTCTCGAGCTCTTCTTCAGCTCTTACCCCAAGACCAAGGACCAGCTCGTGTCGTCCGACGACAAGTCGTACTTCCTCAACATCTGCAACCGTGTGTGGCAGAAGCCCGTGCCCTTCATCCCCGTCTTCGACAACAATTTCGAATTCTGGTTCAAGAAGGACTCGCTCTGGGCTGCCGAGGATGTCGAGGCTGTTCCCGAGGGCGACGCTCAGCGCGTTTGTATCCTCCAGGGCCCCATGGCCGCCAAGTTCTCGACTGTCGCCGACGAGCCGATCGCCGACATGCTCGGCAACATCGAGGGTCTTCTCGTCAAGAAGATCCTTGAGCGCTACTACGACAACGATGAGTCGAAGGTCCCCACCCTTGACTACATCGGTGCCCGCCCGCCCACGGCCCACACTCACATCGCTCACGAGTCGTTTGAGGGCAACACCCGCTCGCTCCAGCTCACCGACCGCCTTCCCCGCGTCGAGGACTGGCTCCAGCGCATCGCCGGCCCCAAGCTCAGCTGGCTCCGCGCTGCCCTTACGACTGTCAACGTTGTCCAGGGCGGCAACTACGTCACCAACCCCTTCCGCCGCATCTTTGCTCCCCGCAAGCACCAGATCGCACGCATTGAGGAGGACTCTAACGGCGTGCCCGTTAGCGTCAAGGTTTACGGCGCCATCCGGTCGTCGGGCTACGCTCACCCCGACTTCAAGGCCGTCGACCTCTCTTACGACTCCAAGTCGCGCAAGATCACCCTCCAGCTCAACGAGGAGCGTCTCGGCTCGTCCGTGCCCCTCACCTTTGAGTTCCTCTATAAGCCGGAGCAGGGCTACGCCCCCATCCACGAGGTCATGGAGGGCCGCAACAAGGCCATCAAGGACTTCTACTGGCGCCTCTGGTTCGGCGACAACGAGAAGCTCCCCTCGCTGCCGCTCGACAACACCTTCACTTGCGGCGAGACCAAGGTCGACCCGGTCACCATCCAACGCTTCTGCGACGTGGTTGGAAACCAGGGTGAGGCCTTCAAGCAGCGCCGCAACAAGAACATTCTTGCGCCCATGGACTACGCCATCGTTCTTGGCTGGCAGTCGATCATGAAGACCATCTTCCCCGAGGCCATCGACGGTGACCTCATCAACCTTGTCCACCTCTCGAACGGCTTCCGCTTCGTTGAGGGCGCCGCGCCTCTCAAGGCCGGCGACGTTTGCACCACTGAGGCGCGTGTCACCTCGGTTGTCAACTCGGACTCGGGCAAGACTGTCAAGGTCAAGGGCTACGTGCTCCGCAACAATGAGCCCGTGATTGAGGTTGACTCGGCCTTCCTCTACCGTGGTCGCTTCGCCGACTACCCCAACACGTTCGAGACCGTCGACGAGCCCGACTATGTTGTCAAGCTCGACAAGCCCACTTCGGTCGGCGTTCTCCAGTCCAAGGAGTGGTTCGAGTGGGACGACGACTCGGTCCCCCTCGATGTCGGCTCCGAGCTCACCTTCAAGGTCAAGTCAAAGTACCACTTCAAGGACAAGTCGACCTACGCTTCGGTCCAGGTCACCGGTGCCGCCTTTGTCCGCAGCCAGACCAAGGCTCTTGTGCAGGTCGCCACCATCGACTACGAGGCCCACAACTCGCACGGCAACCCGGTTGTCGAGTATCTCAAGCGTGTGGGCAAGTCGGTCGGCCTTCCTGTGCCTCTCGAGTCCGGCTACTCCCTCATCACCGACCAGGCCGCGGCCACCTTCAAGACCCCCGCTTCCAACGAGGCGTACTCCAAGGTCTCGGGTGACTTCAACCCCATCCACATCAACCCCTACTTCTCTGACTTCGCCAACCTTCCGGGCACCATCACCCACGGCATGTGGTCGTCGGCCGCTACTCGCAAGTACGTCGAGTCCGTTGCCGCCGACAACCACCCCGAGCGTGTCATTTCGTACAACGTTGGCTTTGTCGGCATGGTCCTCCCTGGTGACGAGCTCCACGTCAAGCTCACCCACACTGCCATGCACGACGGCAAGAAGGTCATCAAGGTTGAGGTCTTCAACCAGGACGACACCAAGGTCCTTGACGGTCAGGCCGAGGTTCTCCAGCCTCCCACCACCTACGTCTTCACCGGTCAGGGTTCGCAGGAGGTTGGTATGGGCATGGAGCTCTACAACAACTCCGAGGTCGCCCGTGCGGTTTGGGACGCTGCCGACGCCCACCTTACCTCTGTGTACGGCTTCTCGATCATTGACATTGTCAAGAACAACCCGAAGGAACTCACCATCCACTTCGGTGGTATCAAGGGCCAGGCTATCCGCCAGCGCTACATGGAGCTCACCTACGACTCTGTCGACGAGCAGGGCCAGGTCAAGACCCAGCCCCTCTTCGGCGACATTGACCTCCACACCACCTCGTACACCTTCTCGCACCCCCAGGGTCTTCTGTACGCTACCCAGTACACGCAGATCGCCCTTGTGGTCACCGAGAAGGCGGCGTTCGACGACATGAAGGCCAAGGGTCTGATTGACCAGAACGCCTCGTTCGCTGGTCACTCGCTCGGCGAGTACTCGGCGCTTGCTGCCATTGCCGATGTCCTCCCGATCTCGGCCCTCTCCGACGTCGTTTTCTTCCGTGGTATCACCATGCAGCGCGCGGTCAAGCGTGACGCTGAGGGCAAGTCGCAATACGCGATGATGGCCGTCAACCCTTCGCGTGTTGGCCGGACATTCTCAGAGCCCGCGCTCCGTGAGATTGTTGACCAGATCTCGTCGCAGAAGGACTCGCTGCTTCAGATCGTCAACCTCAACGTCGCCGACCAGCAGTACGTCTGCGCCGGTGAGCTTCGTGCTCTCGCGACTCTCACCAACGTCCTCAACGTCCTCAAGCACCAGAAGATCGACCTCGAGAAGCTGTCCAAGACCATGTCTGTCGAGGAGCTTAAGGAGCACCTTGTCGGCATCATTGACGGCGGCTGGGACATGATGCTGGAGAAGAAGAAGAAGGACGGCGGCGAGGTCCACCTCGAGCGTGGCTACGCCACAATTCCTCTGCCCGGTATCGACGTGCCCTTCCACTCTCGCTACCTCTGGCCCGGTGTCCTCTCCTTCCGCAACTACCTCATGAAGAAGATCGACCCCGAGCACCTCAACCCCGACCGCCTCGTTGGCAAGTATATCCCCAACTTGATCGCCGAGCCGTTCGAGGTCACCAAGGAGTACGTCAAGAAGATCTACGACGAGACCAACTCGCCTCGTATGGAGTCGGTCCTCAAGGGCTGGGAGAAGGACTCGTGGGACTCGGCGGCCAACCGCCAGCGACTCGCGTACAACATCCTCACCGAGTGCCTCGCGTACCAGTTCGCGTCGCCCGTGCGCTGGATCGAGACCCAGGATGTCCTCTTCACTCAGGCCAAGTTCGAGCGCTTCATTGAGGTCGGCCCTGGCCCCGTTCTCTCGGGTATGGCTACGCGCACCCTCAAGGCCAAGTACGAGGCCCAGGACGCTGCCACCGCTGTCAAGCGCCAGATCCTCTGCCACGCCAAGAACCAGAAGGAGGTTTACTACGCCTTCGAGGACGAGGCCGGCGAGGACGCTGCTCCTGCCGCTCCCGCCGCGGAGGAGAAAGCTGCCCCTGCCGCTGCCGCTGCCCCGGCTCCGGCTGCGGCCCCCGCTCCTGCCCCGGCTGCCTCGGCTGGCCCCGCTGCCGCCGTCGACGACGTGCCGCCCAAGGCTGTCGACACCGTCCGCATCATCGTCGCTCAGAAGCTCAAGAAGCAGGCCAGCGAGATCCCTCTCTCCAAGTCGCTTAAGGAGCTTTCCGGCGGCAAGTCGACTCTTCAGAACGAGATTCTCGGCGACCTTGGTGTCGAGTTCGCGTCGGCGCCGGAGAAGGGTGAGGACCTTCCTCTCGACGAGCTTGGTGCCGCCCTCTCGGTCGGCTACGGTGGTCTCGGCAAGCACTCGATGGGTCTCACCAACCGCATGATTGCCTCCAAGTTCCCCGGTGGCTTTAACATCTCGGCAGCCCGTAACCACCTCAACAAGCAGTGGGGTCTTGGCCCGCTCCGCTCCGACAGCGCACTGTTCTTCGGCATCCTTAACGAGCCGCCAAAGCGTCTCGGATCTGAGGCTGAGGCCAAGGCCTTCCTCGACTCGGTCGCCCAGTCCTATGCCTCCTACTCTGGCATCACCCTCTCGCAGGGCGGTGCCGGCGGTGGTGGTGGCGGCGGCGGTGGTGGTGCCGTCATGAACTCGGAGGAGTTCGACAAGTTTGTCATCAAGCAGGAGGAGCAGGCTCAGCGCGAAATCGAGCTCCTGTCGCGCTACCTCGGCAAGGACCCTCGTGCTGGCGAGAAGCGCGCCGACGCAGCCAAGGCCGAGGCCGACGCTCTTCAGGCCAAGCTCGACGCCATCAAGCTCGAGCACGGCGACGCGTACATTGACGGCATTGCACCCGCGTTCAGCGCCAACAAGGCGCGCATCTTTGACAGCTCGTGGAACTGGGCACGCCAGAGCTCGCTGCAGCTCTTCTACGACATCATCCAGGGCCGCCTCGACCCCAGCACCATCTTCGAGAGCGAGCGCGAGCCGCGATACCGCCCCACCCAGTAAACGGCGAAAGTGTAGTAGAGGTTCCGTACATATAGAGAAATCGCTCCAGAGTTTTGTTCATTGTCGCATATAAGGAGCATGCATCGGTTAGTATTCGAATTGAGCGACTGTGGGCGTCCTTACGGGGAGACCAAAATTAGAGAACGGTGCACGGACAAAAGCCACCACGTGATCAGTGAGGCCACTTGCCGAGGCGGGATGACATCAGCCCGTAATCGGCCCATTCACAACTCAGCTGACCTCGGTGCTCGATCACGCATCCCAGCGTGCGCAAGCAATCAAGAGTTTCATCTGAAAGGTTCATGTACACAATACAAGCGATACAACGGATTAAATGCGAGGGGTGCTAATCTATATGCATGGTCACCTGGCCTCTCTGCTTGGGCTGTCGGCCCAGTGGCGCTGAACTCCCACGGTCCCCAGGCTACGCGTCAGTGGCGTTGAACAACCAGCTGCGCCTCTGCCGTCTAGTGCGCCCGCACGGCCCAGAAGCCGCACCCAACGGCCAGGGCGACGGCGCACGCTATCGCCACCTGTGTCCAGCTTGTGCGCGCGAGCACCTTGCGCACCGGTGCAAATGCGCGTGCAACAACGTCCGCCAGGCCGACGGAGCTAGTTCCCCTCCCGCGGGGGAAGAGGGGGCCGCAGGGATCTGGCGTGGTCTGGCGTCGGCGTGGACGCGGACGGCGCCTGCGCGCCTGCGCGTCCAACTCCCGCCGGTGTGCCAGGCGCCGCGAGAGCGTCGCCTCCCATTCCCCACCGGCTGAGCGGATGGTAGGCAGAGGCGCGGCGTAAGTTGAACTCGCTGGCGAGGTAGTGGAGGACGGCGGGACGTAGGCCAGACAGACAGCGGCCGAGGCTTTGACCGTGCTGGCGGGATCGGAGATGACACGCTCGAGTAGGGAGACGGTGGCGGCTACGTCTGGGTCAAGGAGGGATGCAGTGGACGCGATCGCTTCATCCTCCTCATCAACGCCGGGGAGGCGGGAAGAGAACTGCCAAGGCTCACGCTCGCGATCGCGGGTCGGAGGAGTGCAATCTATGTCAGCGCTTGGTGTCTTGGATGGCGAGGGCGGCTCGTTGTCGGAGCTGCCGGAGGAGTCCGCCGGGGTGGGCACTGGGGCCGCAAGGGGCGTGGGGAGGTCAAAGTCAAGCACATTGTCCGTGGCGGCTTCAGCTAGGGCAGCCGTCTGGGCGTCATCACGAGCCATCTCGGCCGACAGACGAGCGGCTTCGTCGCGCAGTGTGGTGACAGGAACGGCGCCGTCGAGGTCGTGTGTATCTGCGTCTTTCGTCAGCCAGATCTTGTTATGACTCACCGTCAAGGGGGATGACGAGGTGCACCCAGTCTGCGCGGGAGGCGTAGCTTTTGACTGAAGACTCGAGTTCGGGCGTGTCGGCGCCAGCGTCTAGGAGGGCGTGGAGGGCGGCGTAGGCATCCACTGCGCGATCGCGGACATCGGCGGCCTTGAGACCGGTAAGGATAGTTGCTGAGAGGCGGCCGTGTTCGACCACGCCAACATGTCCATGCGGGAGCTGCACGCACTTTCTGCGGGCAGCCAGGGCACCGAGGACATCCCGCGTGCGCTCTGGCCCAGCCAGGAGAGCAATGCGGGTGCCCGCTGGTGCGCCATTCCATCGCTCCAGGCCGAGATGAAGTGAAGTACTGGGCAGACTGAGGGTGGGAAGGACGAGCTCCGTCCCCGCACGCTGAGGCACAGGGCGGGTCTCGAGCCCCAAGGCGTCTAGGCCACGCCTCTCTGCCTCACTATCGTAGGGTCTCCAGTCCTCTAGGAGAGACGAAGTGCGTGAGAGGCTGGAGAGAGTGACGGACATTGAGTCAAAAGAGGCAGGAGAGGAGGGCTCTGACGCGCTGGGCGCGTCAGCGAGCATGTCAAAGAGCGTGTGTGCCAGAGGTGGAGGGCGATTGATGGCCGGGGATGCGAGAGCGGCGGCGGGAGGCGTTGGGGTGCCCTCGAGACGGGGCGGCGAGTCGATTGGGGCCAAGGAGGGGCGTGGACTTGGCGCCTGGCTTGCGCGAGCGAGGGTTGTGGTGCTGCTGGAGGTGGAGGAAGGTGACGCGCCCAAGAGTGGAAGCGAGGTGCTAACGGCGCTCGGTGTATCGTCTACGGGACCAAGATTGCTGCTGTCTTCGGATGAGTCTCCACTGCTTGGTTCGCTCTCCCAGTCTACAGAGTCGAGACTGCGTACGCCGTAGAACGAGTCGCTACCTGGTGGTGGAGGCGAGTCGCGTCTGCTGCGGCGACGGGTGGCGAAAGTGGAGACGCCAGCGATTGCGGCGGAGAGGGCGCTTTGTCCGGACATGGGGCGGGTGGGTACGGGTGGTGGGGAGAAGGGGGTGGAGGGGAAGGAGATGGGAGATGGAGATGAAGAGGAGGAGGGGAGAGTGTTGGACAATGAAGAGGAGAGGAGAGAGGATGGTGGCGATGGAGGATGTGATGTTGGGGGAGGGGGGAGGAGGGAGGGTGGATGGGAGGTGGGTGGCGGAAGTGTGGGTGGTGGTGGTCCCTTTGGGGTATGGGGAAAGGGAGGGGAGGGAAGGCAGAGGCGGGGCAGCTGACGCCATTGCCGCTCTCTCGTCGTCGTCGTCGTCGTCACCCTCGCGTGCCCCGTTCCTACTCGTCTTTTTACTCTTCTACTCTCTCATGGCTCTCTCATGGCTCTCTCTTGCTCGAGCTTACTCGTTCTCGTTAGTCTCGTCGGCCGATACATGTTGCCTGACGTAGCCTCATCTCTGATACTCTGATACACGACACACCTCCCTCATCTCGCCAAAGTCTACACTTCAAGCTCAAGCTACATACAACAAACCAAGTCATGTGGGTCACTCTCACATATTCTGCTGCTACCACGACGCAACTGCAGCCTTTACTGCTTTACTCTGAATGCATGCAACTAAGTGCATGCATGCATGCGTATATCCTGCACTGGCTAACAGCTTGCAGCGAAATCCATGCCCGATGCACTCGGACTAGGCACAAGACACATGCACACACACCAATCTGCATCCGCACTCAAGGAATGAGTCCTCTGACCCTCTGATCCTCTGAAAGGCAAGGAGATGGCCTCGACGCGCGACGCGTGACACGATCAAGCCATCGCAGCGATGCAGGCGTTGATAGCTCCACGCCAAGCACAATCGACGCGAACGGTCCATGATCAGCAAGTCACGAGCTGTCTTGGCTTCTTGCGAACCAGTAGTGTCGGACCATGAAGCGTCGTCAAACGTTAGCGCCGAAGCAGCCGCGGCTGGCATGAAGGTACGCAGGTACACGGCGCCGAGCCCGCCGAGATCTGGCGCTTGGGCTGGGGGATGGGCTGGGGCTGGGGCTGTAGCAAGTTCTGTACTCTGCGTCCATGCGCACACATCCGCTCCGCTCTTGTAATTGTGCTGGCTCGTGTCCGGCCGTTATCCATCGCCAATACCGAGAAGAGTGGCGCGGGTAGCTGTGTAGATAGCGACAGTTCACGTCCCCTCACATTCCGGCGCACCCTTGTTTTTTGAACCCCACCAGACGAGGACCACCGGATCTCAAGCTCGCACATGCAGCTGCGACACAGTGAGGGGAGGGTCTCAAGAATGGGTTGATAGAAGACAAGCCATGGAGAGGCGCAGCCGAGACCTTGGAGCGCGAACCTCAGTGAGAGCTTCTGGCCTCCTGCACATCTGCACCCTCAGATCATTGCAGTTGGATTGCCACTGGCCCCTGCGCACTACGATTCTGGATAACGGCTGAGCAAGAGGCTACCATCGCAAAAGCTGCCTGACCAAACGAGGGTTGCTACACCAACTCCAAAAAGCATTACAAGTCACCTGATGGCTGATGGCGGGACGGCGGTCCAAACCCTAATGAAAATCAGGCACCACTCCACCTCCACCGACCTCCACTCAATCCGTCGAACTTTGCCAACAACTACTGCCAACTCTTCATCGACCATGACGCGCCCCCATCTCGCCTCGCTACCTCGCCTCCGCGCCCTCCGCTCTCTCCCTCTCCCTCTCCATCTCTCCACTCCCACCCGCCCTCTACGCACGCCACCCCTCGCCCGCTCCCTCTCCTCCGCCTCTCGCGCCACCCCTACCCGCCTCCTCATACCCGGCACGCTGCGCGCGCGCCGCCGTCTGTTGGCGGTGCTCGCCCTTCTTCCCCTGTTCTACTTTTTGCGCCCCGCGTCCCCGCTAAACCCCCAAGTCTACTCCGAGCATCCCGTGGCGAGCGTAACCCCCGTGGGCCCAGCACACGTCGAGCTCGTCGTGCGCGTGCCCGAGTCCGAGCGCGCGCAGTTCGGCGCCGACGCTGTCGTCTTCTCGCCGTACGGCGTACCACCGCGCCCGCACGCGGCACCGTACGTACACACGGAAGGCGCCGCACCGCCCGGCACCGTCGTCGTCCAGCATGTCATGGTCAAGAACCCCGACCTCATGATTGAGCGTGCGTACACCCCCGTCAACGATGTCGGCGCCGACGGCGAGATGCGCCTCGTTGTGAAGCGCGTGCGCGGCGGCGAAGTTGGGAGGTACGTCCCATCACTCATACCGCTGGGCGTCGCGCTGACGCCAGACTAGTGCATTCCCGGCAGGCCGGGGACAGCGTCGGCCTCCGCGGACCGGTCACGACCTTTGCCATCGCGCCGCCCGACTACGACCGCATCGTTATGGTATGTGCACGACCCCGCGGGTGCTGAGACAGATATCAACGGGCACAGCCGTTGCGCCCTTCCTACAGCTCCTTGCAAAGGATGTGCCCGGCACCACGCGCTACACCCTCCTCCACCAGACGCCGTATGGCGGCCGCGAGGACTGGAGCGCAAAGTACATTGCGCCCATGGCCGCCAAGTGGGGTGACGCGCTGGACGTGCGCAGAATCCAGCCGGGCGTCGTGCGGAAGGAGGACGTGGCCGCCGCACTGGAAGGTGCACAGCGGCCGCTTGTGCTCGTTTGCTTGCCTACTCCGTGAGTACACGACAGAACCATCTCACGCCAGACTCATGCGTCCGCTTTGCGGCACACTCGCTCCCACACTGCACCAGGGCCCGCTCGTGGGCTTGTTGCGCGAGATGGGTCTTCGTCCCGACCAGGTGTGGAAGCTCGAGTAGAGATGGACATGGTGGACAGCGTCTCGCGCCTATTGCGATACACGACACGCTTCGCGGAGTTACGAGAAGGTTTGCCCTCCCAGAGCGCAACTCTCAGCATCGCATCACCTGCCATGCGCAGACGCCGTGCTTCTGGTAATCCGTATATTCAGCTCTTTACACCGCTCCGCTGTCAAGCAGCAGCTTGATGCATATGATAATATTACAGCAGTTGATGCGGTTGCCTTCGGCGGAAGCATGCAGTTGAATGACAACAGATCGGAACAGCACTGCAGTGAGCTACCTCACGCAAATCAAAACAGCCAACGACACCCTCAGACTCGCCTTTACATCCCCATGCTCTCCCCACCGCGCAGCATATAGCCCGCGGTGTACTCTTTGAGCGGGGTGAGTCCGGATTACCAGTATTATCGTCACCGGGTGTGTGGAGGGGAAGGGGGAAGGGAGGAAGAGAGGAGAGATCGGGGCAATCCCAACGCAACCGACACTGGCACTCACGAGTAGTCTAGTTTCTAGTGGGAGTAGTCGTACTTGTCGAAGAACGTCCTTGCATCGCGAGTCTGATGTCAGCATTGGGCAACCTCGCGCAGAGAGGCAACTCACGTCGCCCTTGGGGCCGCGGACTCTCCCGCGTGCGGCCTCCTTCTCACGGCGCAGCTCACGGTCCTCGCGCAGCCAACCCAGCGCGACGTTGAACAGGTCACCGCTGCCGGGCCCCCATTCAATCGTCGGCTTGGGTGTAGCTCCGAGTTGGATGTGCACGATCTTGTTCGGGAACGAGCCGAGGCCGTCGAAAATGTGGGTCGCGTCTGCTGTCAGCTCTCCACAGATCTTGCAGCTCACAGAGGATCGTCGCGCCACGGTCCTTGGCCTCGGACGCGAGGAAATTGACAAGATCGGCACGCACGAGCACATCCAGGTCGACAGTCACCTCGTCGAGCAGCAGCACATCCCATTCCGTCATGAGGCCCATGCAGAGCTGGACACGGCGGCGCTCGCCGTCCGAGATCTGGTGCATCCGCCAGTCGAGGTCGACATCGAGGATCTCAAGGAGGCGATCGCGACGCGCGCGGTGGCGCCATCCTCCGACCGAGTCGAGAAAGTGGGACACGACAATGTCCGAGCGCACGACGGGGTTCATGCACCACTCGGTACCGAGGTAGACGACGCCCTGGCGTCAGCCGGAAACAGGGGATCGAGGGGTCGTGGAAGGCTTACACCAGGCGGATTCATGAAGACATCCTGACCCAGGATACGGCAGTTGCGCGTCTTGGTCAGCCGCTTGCCGGCTAGGATACGGAGGAGTGTCGACTTGCCGGCTGCAGTTAGCATGAATGATCGGGGGACAGAAGCAACGTACCTCCGTTGGCGCCGACGAGAAGACAGCAATCTCCGCGCTCGAGCTGGATGTTGACACCAGAAAGGACGGGCTCGGCGTCGTTGGGGTTAAAGAAGAAAGTGAGGTCGCGACAGTCGATTGCGAGCTCGTCAGTGTGGGTGCTGTTGGCGGTCATGGCGGTAAAAAGATCTGGGCAGGGGATGGCTGGCGTGGGTTAAGCCCGAGTGGATCGAGCTGCGATGTGGGGGGAAGCGCACAGGATGCGATGAGAGTCTGAGTGAGTAAGAGTCCAAAGGGAGACGAAGAGTAAGCTAGAGGCGTCGTGCTGGAAGCGCTGGAGCGATGGAGGGCTCGGAGGGCTCGGAGTACTCGGAGGGCATCGAGTGGAGGATATCGTCATGGTGGCGGTGGTGGCGGCGCATGCGCGCAGTTGATTTCTGTTCGAGCCAAAGGTGGAGGCACGTGGCGATTTAACGCCACATGTGGTATTTCCGGTCAGAGCCCCTCCTTGGGTGGCGGCTGCGGGATCAAAACTGGAGTGAATTGCCACCGTACCAAGGTTGATGCCGTTACTCGGTCCCCCCCTTGCTCTCGTGGGGTGGAAGGGAAGGTGGCCAGCTTACGCCTGGGCCCAGCACTCGACTCCCGCGGGCAAAGCTCCATCATCATTTCTCTCGTCCTCCTCATCCTCCTCCTCATCCATCATCCATCTTCCACTCCTCATCTTAAATCCATACCCATCTTCATCTTTCTCTCCCGTTCCCCATCCCCCGCTCTCTCTCTCTCTGTTAACCCATCGCCCTAATCACCTCCGCCATGTCCGAGTCTCAGGACATCAAGCCTCGCCCGGAGGACGACCTTGTCGCCCCCACCCCTCAGAACACCCCCCTCAACACTCATGTCCCCACTAGCCGCCCCGCCCAGAAGCCCAACGTCGAGGATGTCGTCGAGGGTGACGAGGACGAGGGAGAGGATGTCACTAGCATGAATCCTGCTTCCCTCCTTGCCAGCGTGAGTGTGTCCGTGAACATATTTTTGTTCCGCGCCAGCGCCAAAGCGCGTCGCGCCTCCAGCCAGCATTGTAACGCCATCGCTGTGGCCCTGGCGGCATGTTGTGCATCGACTTTTTTTTTTTTGCCCTCCTTCCTCATGCCTTCACTTAGCTGATCCCAGAACCCCGCCCTCCTTGCGCTTGCTCAGCACAAGCTCGGCGCCCTCGTCGGCCGCCCCTCGGGTTACATCCAGAGCCTGCCCCCCGCTGTCCGCCGGCGCATCGACGGCCTCAAGGGTCTTCAGGTTGAGCACGCCAAGATCGAATCCGAGTTCCAACTCGCCATACTTGAGGTCGAGAAGAAGTTCCTCGCCAAGTACCAGCCTCTCTACGACCGGCGTCAGGAGATCATCTCGGGCAAGGCTGAGCCCACCGACTCCGAGGTCACCGAGGGTCAGAACGCTGACTCGGACGACGAGGACGAAGAGGACGAGGGTGCTCAGGTCACTGAGCTCACCGACGAAGGCGAGGAGAAGCTTACTGGCATTCCCGAGTTCTGGCTTACCGCCATGAAGAACGCCGTCCCTCTCGCCGAGACTATCACCGACGCTGACGAGGAGGCTCTCAAGAAGCTCACCGACATCCGGCTGTCCTACCTCGACGGCCAGGCTGGCTTCCGTCTGCACTTCACCTTTGCGCCCAATGACTTCTTTGAGGACACCGAGCTCACCAAGACCTACTACTACCAGGTAAGGTCTCACAATTCTGTCTGTGGCTAATTTTTGCAGGACCAGGTGGGCTACGGCGGGGACTTTGTCTACGACAAGGCGATCGGCCACGAGATCAAGTGGAAGGAGGACAAGGACCTCACCAAGAAGGTCGAGATCAAGAAGCAGCGCAACAAGACGACTGGCCGCACGCGTGTCGTCCGTAAAGTCGTGCCCACCGACTCGTTCTTCAACTTCTTCAAGCCGCCCCAGCCTCCAACGCGCGAGGAGCTCCAGGAGGAGGACGTCGATGAGGAGGAGCTCGAGGAGCTCGATGGCCGCCTCGAGATGGACTACCAGCTTGGCGAGGATTTCAAGGAGAAGATCATCCCCCGCGCCGTCGACTACTTCACCGGCAAGGCCCTCCGCTATGAGGAGGACTTTGAGGATGACTTTGAGGACGATGACGACTTTGACGAGGATGACGACGACGAGGAGGTGAGTTTTACTGTGGACCAGCACTGCCAGAGCTGATGCCTTAGTAGCACGACGGCGCCCCCGCACCTGGCGCGCAGGACGAGAACTGCAAGCAGCAGTAGTTTCGTAGACATAATGCTGTGACAGACCTGACAGTGCCATTTTTTTCAGTTACTCAGGCAGACTCACACTCACGGCCCACGTCGTCTCGGCGCACGCTTTTCACATCGCATACATGCTACATATCTGCACAATAGCACTGAACTCAGACCTCAACAAGTCGTGGGAATCATAAAAGTCAGCGTATGCGATGGCACGGGAGCGCCTCGGCCGCTCTCTCCCAACAGGGCCAACACCCAATCTTGATAGCACCGGGCTCGGAGAAGTACAAAGGGAGCGAAGCTGGCGGGGCGTATCGACGGTTGGCCAATGCGAGTTACGGCTTTGCATACAAAGAAATACAGCTGCACAGCTTGATGATACACGCGCTAAGACATGACAGCTCAGCTCTTATGCTCCGCCGTACCGAGCACGCCTCGCCTCACCCCCTCGGTGTAGATTACCCCAACCTGGCCACCCATCCATCTATTCCCAGACAATAAGCTCTAGCAGGCGACAGAGCGCCGCTCACCTCTCTGCTCGCCTCACAACCTCCGCGCTCCAGTCATCGCGGCTCCTCCTCAATTACCACCGCGTCAGCCTCATACCACGGCTGAGCCTCCGCCGGCGTCCCGATAAAGTTGAGCAATGTGTTCCAGCTCTGCATGTCGTCGGCGGCGGGGAAGGCTGCCGCGCTGGGGTCATAGGGCGGGCGAGGCTCCCACGGGCGCCCGGCAGGCAGCCACTCCTCGGCAGGCGGAGCCAAGGTGATGGCGCCGCCGCTGGTTATTGGCGGTATAGGTGACACATCTATCCGGGTAGGCTCAAGCGCTGGTGGAAGAACGAGCTGCTGTACCGGCGATGGGTGCGGATGCGTGCCCCGCATCGCGTCGGCCTTGCTCAGCATCATGTCGAGCACCTGCATCTCGCAATCGGAGCTGTGGTCGCGTGCCGCCCGACGCTCAGCCGCAATGTAGGCGATAAAGAGGGCGCGGATCTCGTCGTAGTCGTAAACTTTGTCCTCGCGCTTGTTCCGCGCCAAGAGAAGACCGAGGATGCACGCTGGAGCAAAGCCAGATGCTACAGTCATCCACTTGAAGCGGTCGAGCGCTTCAGCATCCTCCTCTAGGAGGTGGAGGCGGTTGCGAAGCTCCGCTCCAGCCGATACAACACACGCGATCCGGCTCTCAGTATACCCGTCATGTAAGAGGTACGGGCGATGGAGAGCGATGCGTGCTTGGTGAAACTTGGAGATGAGTGTTTGGCGCTGTAATCGCAGCCATGTGTACTGCTCGTCCCATCTGAGGTCTGGGTCGGTGATATGGAACATGGGCGGGAGATTGTGTATCCATTCAACCATGAGGTGCTCGCAGGCCATGACATCTGCGTGCTTGCGGGGTGAGAGGCCAAAGCAAGTGGTCAGAATCCGTCCAATGATTTGCGCCAGACGGTAGTGGAGGATAAGGAAGGTAGACTTGGTGGGCGTTGTGAGTGGCCAATTTGGGCGTGGGAGAACCGGCAGCTCGCTATCTGGGATGTTGGCTGGCGGCACGACTGAGAACTTGTCGTCGTGGATCGCCAATGGCCGCCCAAGGAAATACGAGATAGACCTAGAGTCAGGTAGGAATGTGAGGGCGCGTACCTGTCGAGACAATACATCTCTGCGCGTCAGTTTGACACCCGGCGTAAACGAGCGGACTTACGCGCCCAGAGCCGCCGGCGTAGCTCCGCCTCTTGAGGAGGCAAGTCCTTCCACTTCTCGCCGTCAATGTGGAATCTGGTGTCAGCGGGCGGTGATGGGCGGTGGGCGGTGGGCGGTCAGGAGGCCCTGCGTTGCAGAGTCACAGCCGTCACATACCCCTGCGCCTCGGATGCGCGAACGGCGCTGCCGAGCATGTTCCATGCCTCGGGGACCCGCCGGGTCATCACGAGATAGTGAGAGAGCTGGGTGAGCTTTCCTTTGCAGCCGAGGACGCTTACGAGGGAGTAGGCGCGGACGGTGTCGATGGACTCGCCACCAAAGCTGGGTGCTTCTGAGAGCGCACAGCGCGCACCGACGAAGAACTGATTACTAAGCGCCATGGGGTCTCTTGAGGAGCTCGGCTGGCGGTCTAGGAGGGCACCAAATGCCAACACAATTTGAAAGAGGGCAAACCACCGTACATCGATGCGCGTCATGTCCTCGAACTCGCCCTTGATGGCCCAGAACGTGCCATACTTGGCCCTAAAGTCCGGCTCGTACAGAATATCCATCCATCTGTGGTCAGCGCGGCCGGTATAGGGCGCACGAGTTGGCGAGACTGAAGAATATGTCAACATAGCGCTCGCACAGTGAGCGTGGAGGTAGGCGGCTGTCGAGCGCCCGGATGTGCGACGCCAAGCTGTATGGACCGAGGTCGAGGTCGCTCAGACTTGGTAGACGGTAGTGCGTGTCGCTGACATTGAGGCGCTCCTTCCTGACGCCCTAGAGTGAGTTGCAATCTCTTGAGATTTACCCACGCTCATCTCCTGGAAGAACTCGGCCGCGGCGCGGGGACCAAAATGTGATGTGCCATAGAACTGGAGCTGATGATCTGATTTGTGTCAGCGAATCTAGGATGTGGTACCTAGAAAGAGTACTCACGTCCGGGCTCGTCGCCGTGTCCTTCCACAGCCAAGCTGCCGTATCCCAGTGCGCCATTTTCTTGCATGTACACGCCATCGTCGAGCTGGCTGCTCCAGCTTTCGGGCGTCCGTGTACCCCGGAATTGCGGACGGGGCCCACGCCCGTCCCAAGGTGGGGGCGTGGGGGTTTGGGCGCTGTGCCTCTCAGACGAGACTGGAATGGAGTGGTGTACGAGGTCTTGGAGAGACGGGCGGCGGGTAGGTGGCGGTCCGGAGCGGTCTTCGGGCGAGTTGAGGCCGGAGGCTAGCTTCTCAACGAAGAAGGCGGGTCGTTTTGGGGAGCGCGTGTCGGATTCGCTTGATTTGCGTTTGAAGGGATTGTCAGAGTCGTCCGACCCCGAGCCGCTGCTCATGCGCGCTGTAACCGAGCCCTCGCTGTGGTCGCTGTATCCGCGGGGGCGCGGCTTGGGCTTTTGATCGGGGAAGCGGCAGAGTTCGCTGACGTTGCGTTTGGCGCAGTGGTGGCATGGCTGGTGACCATCGCATCGCTGCTTGCGGCGATTGCACTCGGTGCAGGCGGTTGGCTGGCGCCCGCGCCGCCGAAAGCGGGGGTCGTGACTGAGATTGAGGGGCGACATGATTCGCTCGAACTGGATAGGTCGGGTCATCTGCAGCAGGGAGACACCAGGACCAGTTGGGGTATGATGGGGAGGGTGATGGGTTGTAGTATGGTGCGTCGGCGTGTGATGAGGGGGAGTGTGAGTGTGCGTGTGCGGGGTGTAGTGACCGGGTCCTCCGAAGGGGGGAGTGAAGGGGACCTGACGGGGTGGGGTGGCAAGATCCTGCACATCCCAAGGAAAGGTGGGTGCGGTTGGTGTCCGGGGCGACATGGTTGGAAGAGCACGATCGGTACTCTTACGATGAGGTCCACGGCCGGCGCGCCGGGGTCGGGGTGATTGAGACTGGTGGCTGGCTGTGGTGGGGGTAAGGTGTAGATGGGAGACGAGTGCCACTTGCAGTTGAAGTGATAAAGAGAAGAGAGTAGAGAGTAGAGAGAAGAGAGAAGAGACAAGAGAGACGAGAGAAGAGAAGTGGGCAATGGAGTGGGAGGAGGGGGGGATGTTGAGGAGGAAGGGGAAGATGATGATGATGAAGAGGAGAGACGGCAAGCCGAGGGGGGGGGGGGCGTCATGACAACGGCCCAAGGACTCGAGTCGAGAGAAGCGAAGCGAGGCGCGGTGATCGCGACGATCACTCCTTACTCGTTCCATCAGAATTGTCTGAATCGTTTGCATCGTCTGTATCGTCTGCAATGTTTCTGGGCGCACAGCGGACATGCTCCTCGCCCAGCTCCCAGCTTCGGATGACGTCGACGTCCGTAGTACGACTTGCATCGACTATTCCTCTTGGAGGATTGGAGGGAGGCCTTGGACGCATTGGTCGAATTCATGTTTCCATGATCCATGACGGGTCGCGAGTTATGCAATACCAGTAAGTGTGTTTTGAGAGTCAGCGGCCTCGCGGGGCGTTGAGGCGCGTGCCAATTGTGCACGCAGAGCGCAGAGCGAAATGTCAGTGATTGCGCGGACGTACATGGTACTAGTGCATTGACTGCACCTCGGCGCCCGATCGCCCGAGTCTCTGGGAGGGCATGGTCGATGTTGGACATGAGAGATCATGAGAAAAGCGCAAACAATCTTTGCGAGGTAGATAAGAGGATGGGAAGGATCCCAGTTGGATGGCGTCGGTTGTTATCCAAGCAGGGCCAGCGCGGCCAGCTCGGCCCGCGGCCAGGCCGTCGTTCCGCGATCGGCAAGAGCGAGCGGACTTTCCGATAGCCAGGGGGTGATATCTTAACGCTGACTGAACGCTCGCCGGAGCCCAACTACTCCGACGCCGGTGGCGCCGGGTATGTCGAGGAAAGGAGGGTTCTTCGATATGACGAGTGAAGGCATGCAGCACGTGACTTCCGGGCGGACGGAATGTGGGAACCCACCATACGCCATCAACCCTCGGCCCTCGGCTTGTTCGCTCACCGTTAGTGGGTTGTTGCGCATCAACACACTCGTCGGCCGTCGGAGAGCGGTGCGGTGCGCGTCAGTATAACCCGTACCCCGTCACCGACGTAGATGACATTGGTTGTTCCGCGGAATAGAACTCTACTCTCAATCGTGATGCTGCTGCTACACGCCACACTACTGTTTGCTCCGCCGTCGGATTCGGCGTATCTTAAATACACAACAACCACTTGGCCCGTTGTCTGCCAATGATTGTCACTTCTCCATATCCCCATGATTCGACGCCGGAGAATCAGAAGGCGATATTGCGACATGCGACACGACCTGCGGGCTGTGGTCTGTGGTCTGTGACCTGTCGCCTCGGGCTTCTGGACCATGACCAATGAGCCATGGGGTTCTGGGCATGAGGGCAGACTTTCTGCGTCACCAGTGACTGACGGTTCGCCGGGGGTCCGAGCGCTCCGGCGTCTATTGTTCGGCAACATCCCCCGATCCCGGGATAGTGCGAGTGCGTCGGACCCCGGGAACCAGCGAACCAGGCTAGAGTGTGTTGTTGCAGCCGAGAGTGCGGAGACAAGTCAGAGCGGGGGGGAAGGAGAGAGGCCGAGGACCACAAGAACACAGAGTGGCCTAGTAGGCTACATGGCCCGAGAGGTCGAAGAGAGATCCATGCCAGTTGTCCGTGTGGTGGCGTGTGTGGAGGCGTAAGAGGCGTCCGAGGCGTGTGTGGATGAGTAGGGGGAGGGAATGTCTCCCAGAGGCAGTAAGAGAACGGCATTTCCATCAAACACGTCCTTTCTGCCGCCCACGCCGCCCACGCCGTCGACGCCGTCCACTCAATGGCAATATGGCAATGTTGGCTACCTGCCTCCTCCTATCGCGCGCCCTCGTTTCCCCTCATCTCCATTCTCATCCCACCTCGGGCATGCGGGCAGGCATGGATGGGGGGGGGGGGCACTTTCTCCCTTCCATGTCATGCTCTGCCTCCTCCTCTCTCGCTCTACCCACTCGGGCCTCTCTCCTCAGCCCTCAACTGGTTGCTGGTTGACCCATGACCCAGCCCAGCCACTCGATCCACCTTGACCCGGCTCACCCTCGGCTTGTGGACGCACGGCTGTATCAAGGTCAACACACTCGTACTCTTCATATCCTCCGTCATCTCCTCTTCCTCTTCCCCTCTTCCTATTCCTATTCCTCTTCAACATCCCCCACTCCCCCCACCTCCCCTCCCCCTTGTCGGTATCGTCGGCGACCTCTATTGCTTGCTATTGCAAGACTACAGTCTGCGGTTACATCCCCACATTCCGTCGCCGTCGATCGAGCGACATCCATCCCCCGGTCTGTGCGCTACAGTAGACGTTAAGCGTGAGTAACAAGGTTTGTCTGGCGTTGACGACTGGGCACGACTGAACGCCGACTGAACGCATGAACAGCAAAGGGGGGCACAACATAGCACAGTCAACCGCCTCTCTCACCAACTAGATCGCCGCCACCTGAAACGTGTCACCCCACGCCCCGCTTCTTCCCACTCCAACGGCCGACCGTCTCACCACGGCCACCGCCTTGAGCTAGACCATCTCCACAATTGCCACTTCAACCAACTGCCCACCGCCCACAACGACGTCCACACGTCGCCCTCTCTCCTCCCACATCCCATTCCACCTTCATCCTCTGTCTTTGTCTTGTAGCATCTCCCCGACGACCTCTGTCTCCTGTCATCTTATTACTCACGCATCACATCTGCATCTACAACCCCTCCCTCCCTCCCTCCCTCCCTCCCTCCCCTCTTCCTCACCCGGCACCAACCAACATGGGCGCTTGCGTCTCCAAGACCAAAAGCGCCACAGAAGACGCGCCAGGCGCAACCATTTCTCGCGAGATCGACAAGCAGCTCCGCGAGGTTAGCACCGGCCTGTTCTGGAGATGGCGGGAGGCGCGCGCGCAGCGCAAGCTTACATTACAGGAGGAGAAGCGCCTCCAAGGCGAAGTCAAGCTACTGCTCCTCGGATCTGGCGCTTCGGGCAAGTCGACCGTTCTCAAACAGATGCGATATATCCACGCCAAGCCCTTTAGCCCCGATGAGATTGAGGACTACCGGTGCGAGCTAGACTCGGCGCCGCCGTGCAGTTCCTTTGTCAGCGCTAATGGTCAGTAAAATTGTCTTCAGCAACATTGTCGACGGAATGCGCAGTATCATTGACACGATGGATGAGGAAGGTATGCAGGTTGCGCAGGAGAATCGGCCGTTTATTTCCCTCGTCGACAACGAGTACCCGATCAACTCGGGCGAACCATTCCCCTTACACTACCTTCACGGACTCACAAGACTTTGGAACGATCCCGAGGTTCAGAACTGCTATGCACTGGCTTACGAGTTTGCGCTCCAGGAGAACATGCCCTAGTAGGTGGCAATGAGGTTTACCTCTTACCCAAGCTTTTACTCTGACCTCGACCGGCTATTCGAGCGTGATTACAAACCGTCAAATGAGGACATTCTCCGCGTGCGCTCCAAAACGACTGGTATCTCCGAAACGCGCTTTGAGATCAGCAACCTCACCTTCCGCCTCTTTGATGTAGGAGGGCAGCGCTCCGAGCGGCGGAAATGGTGAGTGCCAGTGCCAGTGCCAGGGCCTTCAACTAAGCGTTAACCTCCAGGGCAAGTTGCTTCGAGAACGTCACCTCGATCATCTTCCTTGCCGCTCTCAGCGATTACAACTCATGCCTCATCGAGGACCGCGACAGCAACGGCATGCAGGAGGCCCTCGTGCTATGGGAGAGCATTGTCAACTCACAGTGTAGGCCTCGCTCTTCTTTCAACTCACCACTTTGCTGACTCTAGGGTTTATAAAGTCGTCGATGATTCTCTTCCTCAACAAAGCTGATCTGCTCATAGACAAGATCAAGGATCCGAAGCAGCAAGTCGCGATGTGGTTCCCTGATTTCACGGGGAAGCCGGGGTCGTTTAACGACGCGGTTGAGTACTTTAAGAAGAAGTTCCGCAGCCTCAACCACAACATCAATAAGGAGATCTATGTGCAGTGAGTGAAGTGTGAAGGGTGAGTTCGAGCTGATGCAGTGTGACGACGGCGACGGACCAGCAGCAGCTAAAAGTTGTCATGGCGGCGGTGACGGATACGATCGGTGAGTGTGGTGGGGAGACAACGTCGCGAGAGAGGAGCGGATGGAGCAAAGTACGGAAAGCATCGGATGGCAATTGAGGCGCTGGTATCTCGCACCAGATGCGTGACCGCAGATTGCAGAGCCAGAACGCCAGAAGCTCTGGACGCGCGTGACAGACGCTGATGGCAGTGCGCAACTCGCTTCGCGACATGGCGATCTTGTAATGTGAGGAGAACAGAGAGCAGAGTGAGGTGTTGTGTAATGGAGATGGTCGGAAGTGGATATGCGGATGCATGGTGCTGTGCATCCTGACGCGGCTTCGGCCTATGACGCAATGCACTTCAGGCACTATAATAGCACCGGCAATACTTTTGATGTTAACGCCATTAGGTTTGCAGCCCAGCCCAGTTCGGCTTCGGCGCCCGCAAAGCAAGGCACGCCGTCCACCCAGGACACCGCCAGGCCGCCGCCGAACCCATCGTTGTACTCATATTGTACGAGACCGCCTCTGCTTCGACCGAGATCATCGTCATCACTACGCGCTTCGACCCCACCGCCGGGTTCAGCATTCCTCTCTCACGCGTCTCGATCGCAGTCCCGCGACCTGCGGCCCGTGCGCCAAACTTCGCGTGTCAAGCGCGATCCCACGTCCTCCATCCATCCTCCATCGCGACCACCTTCCATCCTCTCTCCTTCCCTCCCCTCCCCATCCTCTCCCCCCTCTCCACTCTCCCGCACGCCGCCGGGCTTCTCCCCACCCACAATGGGCTGCCTCCCATGCTGCACGCAGCTCAACCCCGAAATCGCGGCGCTCCATGACTGCTACCCGCCCTCCAAGGATCTCGTCAAGTCTGGACCAGAGTTCATGCCCATGTCCCAGGACATGAGCAAGCTCACGTACTATGCAAAGAATAAGCCCAGCTCGCTCGCCAAGATCGGTGACGAGCTCGAGAAGCGCGTCGTCAAGGAGGCAAAGGCCAGCACTGGCGGGTACGCCAAGAGTCGAGCGTGAGTGCACCTCAGCTCCTTCCAGCACGCTGGACTGCGCCGTGAGCGTGAGCTCGCTTTCACGCACTTGCCATCCGCGGTTACATCTCGACCTTGCTCATCCCACGCTCACTCCAGCGCTCTCCTTATATCCCTCGTCATTCTCCACAAACTCCTCACCGAATGCAAGCGCGAAATAGGCCTCTTTGCGCGGCAAGCATTGCGCGCCATCTCCGCCGCCCTCGACGTCAAGATCTACCAGACCAACAAGGTCGACCTTGAGGCTGTCTCGCGCGCGAGCAACTGCTTCGTCGCCTTCACGCAGGGCACGGACGGCGGGCTCATCGGCGTCGACGACGGCCTCACCTCAGCTTACCTCGAGGTGGTGGGCAAGTTCGCTGCCTTTGCCAACTCGGGCCCATCGGGGACAGTGCACGAGAAGGGCGACGACGAGGACCAGAGCCGCGCGCGCCTGCTCGGCCTCCGCGGCCTCACGGGAGCTAGCACCTCGGACGCGGCCTTCAGCTCGGGCGAGTTTCTGCGGCAGGCGCGCATCATCGTGCCGGCTCTTCTGGCGCTGCTGCACGAAACCCCTGTTGCGGAGCTCAAAGGCCTCGTCCGCAAGAGCAGACGCCGCTCCGCGCTGGCCCCGCTCATTACCGACGCGCCCGCGAAACCCCGCCCGCCGCCCAGCCTCAGCGAGCACGTTGTCGGCGAGAAGGGGCCTAGTGCCGACGACGTCACGTCGGCCGCATTCCGCTGTCTGTACGAGCTCGTGGCAGAGTGCCACACGAGTCAGGCGAGCCATGTCCTCGACGTCGTCCTCGTGTACTTTGACAAGCACGGGGCGTGGCGCGACGTCGAGCGCTGCTGCATCGTTGCTGAGAGCCTCGCGCAGGCAATGCAACTGCAGAGCAGATTCGTGGTTCCCACCCGTCTTGTCGAGCTCCTCGTCAATATGCCCGACGACCAGCCGCCGAGCGACAAGCACATGTCCATGCTGGCCATGATCACCACTGTCCTTACGTCTAGTGTGAGCCTCGTTGGGCTTGCCGTTACCGACATTCTTTCCTCACTGATTTCCATCATAGAGCGCCGAGTCAGTCTCGACGCCAACGATGCCATTCTGCACCCGCTGGTAGCGTGCGTCTCCTCTCTCGGGACGCACATCTACTACGTCGACCAGATCAACGACATTGTCGAAGAGACGACTCTCCAAATGATGAATGTGCCCGCCACCAACCCGGCGCGGCAGGAGATTTTGCGCGTCCTTATCCACTGCATCACGGGGGTGATGGTGGCCGCGGACCGTGGGGACGCGATCGAGGTCGAGGCGCGCGAGCGCCCCGCATCCCCTCTCCCCCAAGACAAGGGCAAGGCGCCGGCCCTCGAGAGCCCTATGGTAGAGATGCCGCGTGCGCGCGACGCCGGGCGGCGCAACCCCATCGCGCCCGAGGTGTGGCAGGAGACGCTACCGCTACTGTGCGAGAGCTCGTACGCTGTACGTGCGGCATATGCCCGCGCCCTCATCTTCTACCTCCAGACCGAGATGCCGCGCGACAAGCGGCCCAGACCCGACGAGGCGAACATTGTGCGCTTCTGCCACGCCGTCAATGCGGCCGTGTACACGCTCGCCATGAGCAGCCGGCTAGGACAGGGCGAGCCGCTTCCCAGCGGCCCGCCGACGCCGAGCCGTGCGAGCAGTCACAACGTGCTGGCCGGGTTGGGAGGCAGCACGCCGCCGCGGGGCCAAGGGCAGCAGGGCGTCGGCGTAAGCTTTGTTGTGCACGAGCCCTCGCCGATGGATACCCCGTCCGGCACGCAGTCGCCCACAGCTAACGGCAACGGGCGCTCGCGCGCCGGCACAGCCGCGACGGTGGGCACGGTGAACGGCGCCATGACGCCGGGGAGCGGGAGCGCGACGCCTCCGCGCAAGCCGCTGCGCGGCGGGCGCAGAGTCAGCCTGCCCCTAAACCGCCTTGTGAACGTCACCGAGCCCGGGGCGTTCGACGCGGTCGCCACGCCATTCGACTATGCCGCCATCCTGACGCTCATGGGCGAGCTGCACGCGGCCGTGCCGTCCGCGGCGCTCGAGACGTCGGCGCCCATGCTGTTTGCGCTCGACGCTGACGCCGGCAGCGAACTCACCAGACGGCCGGGCACGTCGGGCGCGTACGTCCTCGAGCGGCGGCGTGCTGTGCGCGAGACTGTTCTTATTCTGTGGCGCCACATTTCGCGCCAGTGGGGCGTGGCCTCCATCACTGCGATGGCGGAGCAAGCGCTCGCGGCGCTCCCCGAGCCCTTCGTGGTGCCTGAGCCGCGCGGCGCGCCAGACGGCGACCTCCCGCGCCCCGAGACGCCGGTCGCGTTCGTGCGCGACGACAGCGAGGCCGAGAGCGCCGCGGCTACGCATCCCATCCTCAGCGCGCGCGAGGTCACGGCCGCATTTGCGGCGTCACCCGCCGTCGAGGCCGGCACGGGGCGCGACGCACAGGGCATCACGCGCGTCTTTGCCGGCCGCTGGAGCGTCGAGGACGCACTCCGCAACGCAACGGAGCGCTTCCACCGCCCGTCGCCCGCACCGGAGGCCGCCCCCTTCATGGCTATCCCGAACGCCAGCTACCAGTCGTTTGGGAGGCCGATGAGCCGCGCAGTCGACGTCGGCGACCTCCGCGACGCGCTGGCTGGCGGGCAAGAGGTCGGATCGGCGGCACAGAGCGTCGCATCCATACCCTCCAGCGCGCCGACGCATGGTGCACCAAAGAGCAAGCCGGACGCAAAGGAGATCCTCAAGGAGATTTTCAAGGACAAGAAGCCGCGCGGCCTTGCCGCTAGCGCGCCGGCCTAATCACTGCCGAGGGTGCAGCAGGCTGTCTCAGTTGGCCGTTCACCGCCGATCACCTAGGCACCACTCGACGCCCCCGCATAGATGCCTCACTAGAGTACTGTGTCCATAATTACTTTCCGAACCATACCCGCTCTCAACAGGCTTATGAATGCTGTGACATGAGGACTAAAGAGCACAATAGTACCACGACGGGTAGAGCGAAGAATGGAGGGAATAGGTCACTCTGCAGGACACGGGCGCAGTAGCGGTGGACAGGATATGGCGAGATGGCGTCCACAAGGGACAGATAAGCGGCGCACACGTCGATTAGCGCGCACTAGTGCGTGTTTATACATGGTCGTGGGCAGAGGGGTGGTGTGAGAGGCGGGGTGGGGATGCGAGGACAGGGGCCGGTCATTCTTCTGGAGCTGTCAGTCACGCTTCTGTAGGACAACTCACGGGACGCCCATGTCGTTTCTGCGTGGTTGTGGGCCCACTCGACGGCAAATGTCGATGCGCGCAAGAACTTCTTGTTCGCGTACTTCTTGTACACGTAGACCTTGTCGAATCCGTCTTCGACAAGGCGCTCGCACAGGAGAACGGCACCGGGAACGAGCTGGCGCTCTGTAAAGTTGGAGTAGAAGATGAAGGCCTCATCCCACGTCCCGCCGAGCATCTTGCGGGAGAGGTACATTCCTATGGCGGCGATCATGCTTGGTTTGCAGCGGAGGAAGCGGTGGTCTAGGAGCGTCACCTCCATCAGGAACTTGGACAAGGTGCGGGTCTGGATGTCGTAGTCGTCCGCCTTGGAGATACGGCGCACCCACGAGTATGGCGAGCAGTACTGCGACACGTTGAAGTCGAGGGTCTGGAGAACAATGCGCTCGCCTTTGAGAATGTCGTCCTTGGTGTAGCCGTTCTCAGTCATGAACACAAAGTCGTCCACCGAGGGAGCGAGAATCTCCTCGTACTTGGCCGCAATGAACATGGCAGTCACACCGACGAGCTGTAGTTTGCTCAGCGACACGACCCGGACAGACAGAAAGCGGTCGATGATGTTGACGGCGATCCACAGTGTCTCGGGAAGCATGTGATAGCGCATGTGCACTTGCAGCAGCCAGTCGATCAGGGTCGTGCGCATCGTCCTGATCGTCAGCATATTCGACTCGATGGGAAGATGGCGAGCTCGGGGCCCGAGGTCGACGGCCCAGCATCCGACTCACCAGTCAGTCTCCGTCTGGAACTCCATGTAGTTGGGGTTCGGCATAACTGTCCCCTAGCGAGTTAGCGATCAAGGCCGGCAGGCGAGCCCTACCTCCATCAACTCCATGTGGGCGAAAATCTCGTCGGCGTACTCTGCAACCATGGTTGTGTCATACTCGTCAACGTCGTCCTGGAAGTCTCTGCGGATTCGGAAGAGCTGCGCCTCGGCGATCGATGCCTCGTTCGGAGACAAGAGCGTCCAGTCTTCTTCCTCCATGTCGTACTCGTCGTCGCTCATCCCCCGCACGGTGTCTTCATCCGTCTCCAAGGCCTCGTCCAGTACTACACCTTGGTCGACCTCCATGCCCACCATGAAGTCCGCCTGCTCTTCAACCGCTGTTGCACGACCTGGCCGTGTGCGTGCTGGGACTGGGGCGATGGGTCGGGTTTCTGCGTTGGATGGGTAGACGTTTTGGGCCTGTGACCGGCTAGCCAAGGGTTGACGCTGGACTTGCGACACTTTGCCTGTGCATGTTAGCTGTGAATGCTACCACGGGTGTGGCAAAGACGTCTGCAGTTGCATGACATTCCAACCGACTCACCATTCTGGACCGCTGCAGGAGCCTCGTTGTGCTGCAAGTCAGTCACCATTCCGCCCGAGCGCATCGCAGTAAACAACAATCCAAACAACGTACGCTAATGGCCCCGAGGGCGTTGCGCACACGCTTGTCATTCTTGCCAATGACTTCCTTGATGCTGCTCTCCTTCTGGGTGATACCGCTGCGTGTTGCTTGCTTGGCTGGCCGAATGGCGTTAGAAGCACGTGGGACGGCGTTCTCATCGTTGACTCGGCGGGTCGCAGCTCGGCGAGAATTGGCGGTCTTGAGTGTCAGCGAGTGTCATGCAATAGTACACTGTACTCACTCGGTTCATGATTGTTCAATAGGTGACGCAGGAGGGGACGTTGCGTAGTATGGAAGAGTGTGATGTGGTTGCCAGAGTGTTTGGTGCTTTGTGTCCACGGCGTCTTGTCTTGTAGTCCTGGCTATGCTCCGTGCTAGAACTGGGGGGCAAAGAGACAGAGGAGGTGCTTGAAGGAGGTGCGAGCAGGCCCAAACCTGAGGGCTGCCCAACGAGGCGAGGCAAGTGTGATGAGGGAGCTGGGGGAGGGTCTGGCGAGCTGGCGAGGCTTGGACGGACGGCGGTATGCACCTCGGAGGATGGCTTCGGAGGGTGTGAGAGAGGGGAGGAGGGGGCGGAGAGGGCGGAGGGGGTGTGGGACAGGAGGGAGAAGAGATGAGGAGAATATGTTGAATGAGAAGAGAGAGAGAGAGAGAGAGATCGAGTTGAGAGATGGAGAGACGGGGATGATGTTTGTTAGATTGGATTGTCTTGTTGAGAGAGACGAGTGAGCGGTGAGCGGGTGGGATGTGACGGATGTTTGAGCCGACTCCAGGGCCCTGCAGGAAGCCCACGAGGCGAAGGCTGGCATCCCCCCTCCATCCCTCTACCCAAAAGTAAATCCGTCGCGCTTCCATCCATTAGCGGGACCATTTTTCTTTACAACTCGGTTAATCATACCAAGGTTTGCGTTGCTACCAAACACTTATCCCTGGGGGGTGAGGCCAGTGGGATGGGTCGTCTTCAGGACCTCCCGCCCGTTTATACCCAAGAATCTCCCTCACATGCCCACAACATCGGCTGCTGCATATGTACTGTATGCTGTATGCCTGACTGGCTGGCTACTGCCCAGCAGCTGATGACTACAGTGCCAATGGCTATGGTTCGGGCGGCCTCTCTTCTCTCCAGTCCAGGCCGACGATGGGGGATGGGGTCAGGCTGATCAGGGGTCTTGGTCGGGAATCAACCCAGCAACAACAACTCTCGTTCTGGCTTCATTCCTGACCTGGCACTACGTATCGCACCCTGGCATTCATTGAGTGCTGCGATTGTTGCATGCACGGGTAGTCGCCGAGGAATGGCCAGACGAGCTGGTAAACGTGCTTGTCTGGACGTAGTTGGAGTTGGGCGCGTGTATGGCGCTGAGGCGCTAAGGCGCGAGGGCAGGCTGGCACGGTGACTTGCCTGACCGCAGCTTCACAACAGAGTAATGCTGTAGAGCTGGCGCTCACTTGTGGAAGCTGCTCAACGGTTGTCCGGAAAAGCGCGACTCGCACGTCCTCGATGATCGTATAACCAAGGCGCTTGGCGTATGCTCTGTGGCGGGCACAGTAACGGTGACGTTTGAACACCTAGTGTTGTCATTAGCCGGTCACGCGTTCGAGAACCTTGACAGGCTGTGTGGCGACTGTACAGTAGTCGATATCTTGTAATCCCCGACACCATTGACGTCTTGTCCGATGGTTGTGGGCTGAGCCACTGGAATGTCAGCTGATAAGCCTGTGTCTGTGCCGCTCATAGTGTAGAGGTGAGTGCTGCTGCAGCACGTGAAGATCATCGGGCTGCCTAGAAAGCCTGTGTCTGTCGGTAATAATGATGCCTCTCTACTTGCTCCAGCGCCGATGATGACGTGAGAGAGAACCCTCCCTCAGGAGTGGTATGCCACCTGCGTGTTGTTTGAGACTCAAACCCTGTTGCAGAACGTCCCGGACCCACAGCCCCAGCCATGCAGCTCAATGGGGCTGCTCTGTGCAGTATATGTACATCCTACGGGCTACGGCTTCTCTACAACGACACTCACGCTTAGCGCGAGCGGAAGGTGCGCCCCGTAACGGTCCTACGCTCCCTCTCCTCTGGCTCCGGCTTGGCGCGGTTAAGAACCTTGAGGAACTCAGCAACGCGGAAGCGCATGCGCGACTGCATGTACGCCTTGGAGCACTTGATGTGGTAATGCAGGTAGTCGCGGAAGAGCTGGATGTGGGAGATGGTCGAGAAAGCTTGAGCTGGGCTGGCGAAGTGGCGAGGTGCCAAGACTGGGGTTAGTTGTGTTTGCAAAGACATTGACGCCGAGGGAAAACAGTTTCAAGCCAAGGAGACGACAGGACCCAGGCGATCTGGCGGATGACACATTACACCCTCCGGCCAACCAGCCAGACGGCTGATCTTCCTACCGCGGCAGCCATATGGCCCAAAGCAGTGATCAGACGTATGCTGGGCTCGCTGGCCTGTTGCGGTCGCCAGCAATCTCCATGTGGAAGTGCCACAACGAGGAGCGCTAGCCCCACCTCATCAACGATCATCGCGCCGCGACTTACTGAAAGTGACGTATCCAACGTTCTCATGCCTCTTCAGCCCCGGAATGTGACGAATCTCAAGCGGCGGCTCGCGGTTCGAGTATGTGACCTGCGGCGCGCTCTGCAAGGACTGGAGCTTGCGCGCATCGTAGAACTCCTGAAGGAACACGCGACCAAAGATGCGGTCCGTCTCCTCCTTGAAGACTGTCGAAAAGATGACGGTGACCCGGTCGTGGGACGCGCGCACAAAGATGGCCTCGCCGTCACGGTAGTTGATCGTCTTGAGCTCGCCCTTGGTCTCCTGCTGCTGCGCATCGGCCATCTGCGCCCCTGCTGCGTCCTTGTAGTTTGCTTGGAGAGACTTCTGCTCCTCGAACGCAGCATTGAAGGGAGCCGCGAGGGCGTTACGCTTGATCAGAGAGATGTGACGGATCAAATCGCTACGCTCCTCTGACAGTCAGCAGTGATTTGAAGGAGAAGAATGATACTCGAGGTTGGGTGAGGGGAAGGTGTGAAGGGGAGAGACAATGGGGTAGGGAAACGTACCGGGCGTTGCAGGGAGCCGCTCCAGGTCGATGCTCAACGACACATTGTACTCGGCCTCGGTCTGCGCCTCGGGGAGAATGTAACCCGCATATTCCTTCTCGAGGCTCTCGCGAGCGCCGTACTTTGCGAGGTCGGGCCAGCACTGGATGCCCATCGAGAGGTGGAGGACGGTCTTGGCCTCTGGAGTCGAGATGCGGAAGCGCACGCTGTCAAAGTCAACGAACTGAATGTCCGCACGCGATGGCCTGGAAATTAGTACGAGCCTAAGCATGGGAAGGTGATGGGCGCACCTCTCGAAACGGTCGGAGAGGACATCCTGGATGATGACGTTGTGAGACTGTGGGTGAGCCAAGAGGCGCGAGTGGAAGCGTACCTCCAAGAGAATCATGGCGGGCGTTCTAGTTGTAAGACGAGGCTATCTGGCTAAAAAGATGGATGAGATGTGATGGGATGGGATGAAGGAGTTGAAGGTGATCGCAATGTGGGTGGAGACGACGTCGAGGCCTGTGCGGTGGGTGTGCGTGGCCTGTGACGATGAGGCACAGCTCGTCCATGTGGAAAGTGTCACTCTCACTGACACGTGGCGTTGAGTCTAACATTACTGCACGCAAAAGCAATCACAATAATCCAGCAAACTGAATACAAGCAATACAAGTAAAAAGGTAAAGCCCTAATCAGGTTTTCTATTGCAGCTAACCGAGACCTCCTTGATGTCGGACTTGCGGGGTGGAGGCCTGAAGGAGATTGTGTTCCAAGCCACCACCCGCGCGCGCTCTAAATCACCGCTCTTCATCTTAACATTTTGCTTCGCTCCTCTCTTCTCTTCGTCTTCGCCCCATCCCCATCTCCACCTTATCACGCACGCCCTTCCACACAGTACCCACGCACTCACACACAACCGGCCCAGCATGACCGCAACGCCCGCGAGCAGGCGACGCAGCTCCAGCGTGACCAGCGCACTCCGGTACGTTGTTGCCCTTGACACATCACCGAACCCACCTGGTGATCCGTGCGCACACACGACATGCGCCGGATTCCCTCCGTATTACTCTGACCGCCAGCCAGGTTCCGCTCAACAAGCAGTCGTCGAACAGGTGCGTTGTCTGGCTTTGAGCTACGTGGCTTCGAGCCGGCGCTAACTCCCAGGGACATGCGGGACAGCGTGCAACCACTGAGCAAAGGCGCGCCGAGGCGTGACCCGTACGAGCTGCCTGAGCGGTACAAGTCTCTCGGGCTGTGGCGGGATATCATGACGGGCCGTTGGATGCTTGTGCCATGTACGTCGGCGTTGGCCTCGCGTCTTCGTGTGGTGGAAAGACACCACTGACCCCAGCGAGCGCTTTTGTGCTCATGATGATCCCGGTCATTCTCTGGGCTAATCAGTGGATGCTCATCGACCTCGGGCTCATGGGACCGTACAAGGTCAATCCCTTCGCGTGGATGCTGTTCCCTTCCCACCGCCTACCGAACGGGCTGTACACCAAGGGCCTCTGCGACTTTGTCTTCATCGCATACTATATCGTCTTCTGGTCCTTCGTCCGCCAGTTTGTCACGCTCTATATTTTGCGCCCCCTCGGACGAAGCCTGGGAATCAAGGGGTCCAAGGTGATGCGGTTTACGGAGCAGGGTTACGCTGTCTTTTACTTTGGCATCATGGGCACCGCAGGCATTGTGAGTTGTTGGACTTGACGAGAGCGCCGCTTACACCAGCTCGTCATGAAGCAGCTCCCGACGTGGTGGTACAAGACAGAGCACTTCTGGCTCGGCTACCCCCACCGCGAGATGACGTGGCGCCTTAAAACGTACTACCTCGTGCAAGCGGCGTACTGGTGCCAGCAGGCCATCATCCTGGCGCTGAAGATTGAGAAGCCGCGCAAGGACTTCAAGGAGCTGGTCGCGCACGTGAGTCATAACGCGCCGGCTGGGCTTAGGGCTTACCGCAGCACATTGTCACTCTCTGGCTCATCGGATGGAGCTACGGTCTCTCGCTGACCTATATCGGTGTGTCCGTTTTCGTGACGATGGATGTTTCGGACGTCTTCCTCGCCGTGAGTTTTGCTGAGCCTTTGAGCCTTGGCAGCTGACAGCAGTTCGCCAAATGTGTCAACTACGTGAACGAGGCATGGTCTGGTCCACCCTTTGCCGTCTTTGTCTGCGTTTGGACGTATCTCCGCCACTACCTGAACATCAAGATCCTCTACTCTGTCTACACCGAGTTTGAGAAGATCCCCTGGGAGGAACGCCAAGTGTTTGACCCGCTCAACGACAAGTGGATGGTGGGCTGGATGAAGTGGCAGATCTTTGCGCCCATTTTCCTCCTCCAGTGCATCAACTTGTTCTGGTACTTCCTCATCTGCCGCATCATGGTGCGCATCGTTCTCTTCGACGTCGCCAAGGACGACCGGTCAGACGACGAGGACTCGTCCGAGGAGGTAAAGCTCGTCGGCGACGCCGACAAGACTCAGTAGGCGAGCACCGGGCGTCCCGCAAGGTAAGACCGGAGCGGAGAACGAACGTTGGGCTTGAACCCGGGCTGTTCGCTGCACGTGCACAATTACAGTAGATACAACACGCGGTGGTAGACCGCTTAATCGCTAGACATGCAAATGTTGACGGGCATGGGTTCTGGCGTCGTCTCTACCTACTTGACCAGGCCGAGAGGCGTGGGTGGAGCTCCGGCCGGCCGACAGGCTTGAATGCAGCTTTGCTCGATGATATTTCGTTTCCCTCTCACTCGATCAACCTCCATCCGTCGCCCGCTGAGCGTACTGTACCGCAGTACTCGAGGTCTCAGACATGAAAGGCATCGGGCCATGGTCGATCAACTAGAGGGCGAGGCTGTAGGCGGGCCAGTGCTTGCCGCTTTTCGAGAGGACATTCGGCGCCCCTGTCCAAACAAAAGTGTGTTCCGGAGACGGCGTTTGCGTACCCAGCATGTCAGGTTTCCTAGCACTGGTATCACTTGCTGCTCAGAGCACCGAGGCAGAATACGTAACCACATCCAGGCCGTGCGACGCAGCTCCTTGCCAGTCTAGCCTGTCTCAGCTTATTCGCGCTCGCACGTGACTTTCGAGTGTTCTGTGAAAGGAGATTGTCAGCGCAGAGCATACGGAGCATTGCGTCATCTCTTAGCTCCTAGACCTAGACTGTCATTCAAACGCTTGAAATCGTGAATGCAGATCTGGTCTAGTGTCTGTTTACTCGTGCAGCTAGGTCATGGGTCGTGCTCGTGCACGGGGTGTGAGACATAGAGTCAACAACGAGTGATCCAGCGAACTGCGACTGCGAGTGCGAGTGCAATGTGTCGTCGCTTCCATCTCCTCGAATGAACTCGGACAGCGGCTCGGCCATGTCTCCTGTAAGCTGGTGTGTGATTGTGCTGACCGCAGAAAAGGGGCGGACGCGCGGATGGTGAGCGGCGCGAGATTGTGAGTGTGGCCCATCCATTTTCATCGCATCCCTTCTGAACCCCTCCCCTCCCGACAAGCGTCGAGCTGAAACAGGCCCCTGCTTTGCCGCACGCTTCGCCGCACGCCGGGCTCGCGCACCTCCGCGCCGAGCTCGCGGCCCTCGGCCCGCACTCGCACACTCCGACCGCGCAGCCGACTGCGCCTGCGCCTGCGCCTGCGCCTGCACCCGCGGGGGGCGGACGGCGGTTCGCACTCGAAGAGTGGGCGGCTGCGCCGACGCACTGCGGCACCTACATTGGCGCGGAAGGGCACGGGGCGGCGTACGAGGTCGCGCGCGCAGCCGCGGGCGGGTGTGCGCTCGCGCTCGTCGCTGTGGGCGGGATGGTGATCCTCGTCCTCGGCGTGTGTGTGGGCTTGCTCGGGGTGTGTGGGCTCGTAGTGCTGCGGCTGTTGCGGCGATGAAGGGATGGGAGAGAATGAGGGCGATCTACAAGTACAAGTAGGCATGCTGCCGTCGCGCATCGAGACCCATATTCCAGCAGGAGGCTGGAATTCGCACGCACGCGTACCTGTATCCCCGCGAGATCGCGAGATGAGGGCGACGACAGGTGCGACAGGCGACGACGCGACGACGCGACGACGCGACGACGAGCGCGACGAGCGCGGTGAGAATGCCGGATCCGTGGATTGGCGATGCTCCAGGCGTGTGGATCACCTGCATGCCCCTGCACCTGTCACACTACATTACTTTGCTGTCACATCGTCACGCTGCCAAGTGTGTCCAGCTCAAGTTTTGAGTCTGGAAGCTGGAAGCGTGCCCGCAGCCAAACCCCCGACGCGTATGGTTTTCTTTCGCAAGCAAGGTTTGCCGTTCCGAGGCCCGAGGCCATCAGGTCCCGGGTCGGGTGCAGGGGCTGGGGCTGCCCTGGATTTTCACTTGGCGCGATTTTCTAGCGCAAGTGCGGCAAGTGTGGCGACGATGTGATGAGGGCATCTTGTGCTATTGACGCGTATTGACGGTGCTTGGTGCATGGTGAGAGCGTGAGAGATCATGAGAGACCATGAGAGATCATGAGAGACCATGAGAGATCATGAGAGACCATGCCTTGCGCAATTGCGCAGGCGGTAGCGACGAACGACGCATGCGATGACGCGCAGATCGTCGTCTGTATGACATGTGGCGAGATGGCCGGATGGGCCGGATGGCCGGATGGCCGGATGGGTGACGAGTGCTTGGGCCGGGGAGACGATCATGCCCAAAGGAGGAGGGAGGGAGGGCGCAGCAGGGCCGAGGGCGCAGCAAGGGCGAGGCCGTGCCTTTGTGATCGCTGGGAAGCAAGGGGAAATGGGAATCTCATCAGATGATCGTGATCCTGACATTTCTGACATTTCTTGGAGCTGACGTGGGGTGAGTGGCGAGGGGTCAAGTATGGCTAGTATGGAGCAAAGATCGCGAGAGGAGCGCCGTGGGGCCGTGGGATCGTGGGAGTTGGGCCTGCGCGATCGCGCCAACTGCGGTGCATGCGTTGGGCTGGCTCGCTTCTCAAGATGGGTTGATCATGGTTGATCATGGTTGATGAGGACTCGCCGAGATCGCCAGAAGCAGGCTCCCTCGACCACGCGCCACGCGCCACGCGGCCACCTCGCTACCGAATTTTCATATTTTCAGAAATCAGACAGACACGCCGCGGCGCCGCATGTTGAGCTTGGAGGATCATGGAGGGAATAGCATCTGGGCACCGCCTTGTTTCAGGCATCTGCCATCCACGCCGACCTCGACTTGGATGTGAGATCATTACAAGCTTACAAGTGAGAGCTGGAGAGCTTGAGAGTTTCGTGCATGGCGATATGCCTGAACGGGCGAGGTGACGGTAGCGGTAGTGGGTGACATGTCACGCAGCTCGTGGTATCGTGGTCAAACCGTGTGCCGTGACTGTAAAGCTGTCGCCGTGGCCAAGCGATCATCCGAGCTCGTCCAGCTCCGCCCCAGCTCCGCCCCAGCTCCGCCCCAGCTCCGGGCGCCGTTCGGTGGATCCGTGTGGATCGGCCCGCGATCCGCGAGCACGCAGCACAAACACACCGATGTCATGTCCAATGGTGTTAGGCCCACCAGGCCGCTGGGCTCTTGCCACCACCTTGCCACGGTAGCGAGCTGGCCACCTGACAGACAAGGCATTTCTACATTTCTACATGAGCAGATAATTTCAGAATGACATAACTCGTGTACATACCCCATGCCGAGGATGCGAGGAGCGGCCGGGCACCCGGAGCGGGAGTGAGTATACTGTAGTAGTTTTCTGCAGTGGGCGGAGCTTGGGCCATGAGGAGAGGAAGAGGTAGAGGGCGGCTGGGCGATGCGGCATGCAGCGGAAGGACCTGATGACCTGATGACCCTGTTGCACCTGTCATGGCCGATGGGCGGTGGCGACTGCTCTTGCTCTTCCTGGAGATATGTGCAAAGAGGCGAAAGAGGCACGAGGGCAGAGGGCAGAGGGCAGAGGGCAGGGGGGAATGAGATAGGGTCAAATTCCAGGGATGTAAATAGGGAATGTAGTCTAATTCCATAGGTTGGGTGGCGGCTCCTTTGAGCTTTTGGGCCTTTGATCCTTTTTGCGATCCCCGCGCTCATCGATCTCTCACTTGTGTGTGCACAGCCGCTCTTCTCTCCTGCGGCGGCCCTCGGAGCCTCGGAGCCTCTCGAGCTCGCTCTTTCTCTCGGCTCTCCATCTCCTCCTACGTCAGCGGGTCATTGTTGGACCGGATCCGCTGATCCGCTGCCGGCCATCAGCCCATACTCGTACGGTGCCAGACGCCTCCCGCCTCCCGGCCTCCGGACGAAATGCCGGTCGCATTTAGAGCCCTCTGCAGAGGATGCAAGGGAATCGTCATGCAGGGTATTCACCCTGACTACTACTGATCTGATCTCCTTCGCAACGTTCGCAACTCTCACACACTGCACTCGCTCCGTGTCGTCGCTGCACTCTTTCATATCACACGCGCCGCGCCCCTTTGACTTGCATAGTACTTGTACTTGCAGTAATATCTCAAGAGACTCGGCCAGCACAATTACAATCGTCGACAGCTGGACACAGTGACAACGGCTGCAACTTTGGCAAACGTTTCATCTCATCACCACCTTTCCCTTTCTCGAGTTGGTCCCTCCCTCCCCTTGTCATCCCTCTCATCCCTCTCATCCCTCTCATCCCTCTCATCCCTCGGTCGTTTCGGGATCACCCGCTTCTTCTTGCTGCTCGCTTCTAGCATATTGCATCCACAATCAATCATTATCCTTCTTCTTCCTCCTCGTTCATCGCCCATCGCCCATCGCCCATTGCTCGTCGTCCACCGCCCATCGCTCATCACTCCTCACTCCTCACTCCACACTCCTCCCTCCGTCTCTCTCTCACACTCACTCACACACACATACACCCACCCACCCACGCACACCCACAGTTCACACACACCACGACCCACGTAGACCGCCCTTCAGCTTCAGTCTTCCGCCTTTGCTTCGGCGCACAGACCGAAGCCCGCCATTACACGACAACCCATCTCCCCCCTTGCGATATATAGGCAGTCACCAACACCACCCAGGTCGTCACTACCACTGCGCACTCCTCTTACCGTCCTTGCCTCTTCACAGTCCACCCCACTCGTCTTCTTCCAGCGCATTCCAACCCAACTGCCTACGCGACGCAACAACGGTCTTGAGTGAGTCTTCCCTTTGCCCCCCAGGTCGTTCGGGGTGATGTCTGGTGATCTGGTTAAGAGTGCCAAGTACGGTCTGTGCCCCTGCCCTGTGTTGTGGGATGGGAACACGAGGGGAACACGGAGGCGCTTCCGAAGACGAGCGCGGCGCTGCGACTGCTCGGGCTCGGGCGTCTCCATTTAGGGAGGGAGGGAGGGAGAGAGTCGAGAAAGGTTGCACTGAGCAATTTAAAACGAGCAGCTTGTCCGCAATGTCCAAAACGCGGACGCTGTCAATGGCTTCAACGGTTGCTCTGAGGATGCCAAGGCTCTTCACAGCGACCACAGGTGTACTGTGCAGCTGGTTGACACGGCTGAACTCTCACCGGGATGGCCGAGGCCTTTCACCCTCCGATCTCGACGGTTCACACACCCACATTGATTTGACTGCTGCAGTGTATATGCACCGCCCACCCACCTCCTACCAGCTACCAGACGACTCCAGCTCCCCTGTACATGTGCTGATTCTCAGAATCTACGCCCTCGCACGCTTGGTAACAGTGCATACAGAGCAATTCGCACCTGCACCCGTGTACTTTTGCCGTGGCGTCAACAGAACCCCAGCCCCCAGCCCCCAGCCCCCAGCCCGCTCGCCCCTCTGAACCTGTCTGCCGTTCCTTCGCTCGCAGTCACGCAACCCGTCCTGCCGCAGTTAGTGGTCAAAGCAGCCACCACTAGAAAGGCATCTACAACAACACCGTCGGCGCCCAGCACTGCTCCTTCTACATTGCGCACTCCTCAAACAGTCTCTGGGTACGTAGACAAGAACCAGTTTCCTCCCCTCAAAAGCAGCTCCCCTGCTCAGCCGCGCCCAGGGAGGCGCGCCGGCGCGTTACCTTGAAACCTAGCGGCGCCCCCCGCCCCACCCGCCTCCCGTGTACACTGCACCCACCACCACCCATTCATCATTCCCTTAGCAGCTCGTCAACACGGCAAAGGACGATACAGCACTGCTCGCGCTAGATGTATCGGCTGATCGTCGCTCGCATCCCATCGTTCGTCTCGCATCCCCGGAAACACTGGCCTCTCTCCCCTCTACTTTGCTTCTGCATGTCGCAACTGCCCCGCTGACACTGCAGCGATCATCTCCACACACCGACTTGGTAGTCCTCGACTCCTGACGGCCCGTGTGCTGTAGCTTTGTCAGAAAGCTGGCTAATTCTCGATACATCTCAACATCATCCACTCTCTCCTTCAAACACAATGGCTGCAGTCGACTCCCCACGCTCGCCACCAGCGCTTGGCCCAGCCTTCAAGCAAGGATCGCTCAGACTCGACTTTGACCTACGCCCAACAACGACGGTCAACATTCTTGAGACCTACTCACCATTCCCCTCCTTTGGAAACACTCGCGATCCATTCAATCTAGACACTTTTCTCCTTCACCCTTCCGAGGTCCCATGGGAGTTTCTGAACAACTCGCCGTTTCCCGGCGAGGCACTGCTTGTGACGGGTAAGGAAAAGCCTACAAAGTCGGATGCGCCCAACAGCCGCGTGTCGATGCTTCGACGTCCCTCGCCACTCGCGTCCAACCCACCATTGAGCGCAAAGGTTGAGGACGACAACGACGAAGAAGATGTAGAGGAGCCGTCGGAAGCAACGACTCCCGGGCCCTCGCCTCCCCGACGACCTAGGTCCGCAGCAGCAGTGGGCGGTAAGGCGCTGCGTGCTCTGATGAGCGGCAATAGGAAGAGCAGCAATCCTCTCCTCACGCCCGACTCGGACACGCCGGATACAGTACCCACAACACCCGAGGAGCCACCGTTTGAGACCCCGCAGCTTCAACCACCAGACAGGCGGTCAATGTACAGCCTGTCAGGTAGCTCGTCCGAGGACTCGTGCGACGGCATTCAGACACCCACACATTCCAACTCCTCGCCCACAGACGTAACTGCGCGCCTTGCCGCTGCTCTCCAAGAGGACCAACAACGCCTCGAGGACCAGCAGCAGCAGCAGCAGCAGCAGCGCAAGAACAACCGTGCGAGCTGGCGCGACTGGCTGGGTGGCCGTCGCACCTCCTTCCTCGGCCATCGTGGCGAGTCTGGCTCAACCCTGCTCGAGTCTCCCCGTGCCAGTGTCGTCGACCTCATTCCAGAGGAAGACAGCATCATGGCGCCTGCCATCCCCGACAGCGATCTCGCACGCTCAGCACAGCAACTACGGCGCCTCTCACTTATCAAGCTCGGCTCGCTGCGTCTTCCTTCGCCCCACCCCTTGGCACCTGTTCTTGAACGACAGTCGGCCAACCTTCCTAACGAAGTAGCGTTCGCAATTCCAACTAGCAGACGGGTTTACCCCCAGTCGGTGAACGTTGTTTCGCGATCCGATCCCCTTCCGGCGCAGCCCGGTTTACGTGTCGCGCTCGGCTTGCGTGACATCATCCAGCGGATCGACGCTGGCGAGCGCCCTACCGAGCTTCTTAACGTGCAACGAAGGACACCTCCCCGTGCAACTCGTGCCCGAGGCGTGCGCGACTTTGTCTCCCGTCAGCCGTTTGAGGAGCGTAATGTCGTGTACTACCCGGACGACTGGGTCGAGGAGGTGTCTATGGCGCGCCCCGGCTATGGCGTATGGGACCTCGAGTTTAGCGACTACATTCTCGCCATGGCTGAAACAGAGGAGAGACCGCCCCGTAACTACTCCCTGCGCCCCAAGTCACCACAGACACCACAGTCACGCTCATCGCTCTCGGCCGCGCCAGTGGTCAAGGTGACGAAGGCTGAGGGCGCGAGGCAGGCACTCAAGCCACTGCTGGAGGCTCCAGTGCTAGCCGTGGCAACTATGAGGTCCGCTCCACCAGGACCAGCCGCCGCAACTTCTATGCCCCCACCTCCGTTGTCGATCAGCAAAGCTCGCCCCAGACCCTCCACTTGGGATGACAGCTCGGACGACGAGGGCCTCTCAGATTCTGCCGTCACCAAGGCTCAGGCGCCAGTTCGACCACCGACCATGCGCAACCAGACAGCCCCCGCGGCCGTCACCGGCACTGCTCGCATTCGCCAGTCTCGTGTGATCGACGCCGGTACCGCTCTGGAGATGGTGACAGCGAGCCGCGACCGCCGCCACGAGGCCAATATGAATCATGTCCAGCGTAAGGCTGTGACAGACCAGCGCCGCGTGAGCACAATGATCGTCGAGGAGCAAGAAAAGAGGCGGACGCAGTACGCCAAGTCAGTCCACGAGATGAGACGCCCGCAGCCGTCAAAGCGTGTGTCATCGATGACCCTCTCTGCCGACGCACATGCTGCTACCCTCAATCGCCGTGCATCTAGCCAGACGCTCGCTGCCACAGCGCAGGCCCAGGCTCAGACCCGCAAGTCTATTGCGCCCTTGAATAGCAAACAGCGGTCTCCTCCCGGCACGCCTAGCAAGAGCCGCCCGGCTGCCTCCCTCCCTTCATCGCCTCGTCTCCAGGCAGGCGACCGCCGCCGTGCGGTGTCGCACTACGAGCCGCCCCTCGATCGCCGCCAATCTGTCATGAACATGAACATGTATGGCGGCATGGCAACATTAAGCCCCATGGCTCCCGTGCACACGGGCATCCCTCCTATGGCACCGATGCACACCGGCATGAGCCCGATCGCACCAATGAATACTGGCATGATGCCGCCTTTGCTCCACCACCGGGCGTCAATGATGTTCCCCGTGCAGCCCATGGCGCCCTTGCCGCACCCTTATGCGCCGCAGTACACACCGCAGTTTGCGCATGGCAATGCCCCTCACATGTTTCTCCAGCCGCCGCCGCCCAACACGGGTCGCCGACGCGAGCGCCCTGTGGCGTGAATCGTCACCCGTCCACCAGCACAATCTAACTCTGCTCTATTTTGTCTTCATCGCATGGTGCCTGTTGCCCACACCGCACACGTCCCCCCCCCAACGGGCACCCCAGTACCCTGCTCGCGCATACCGCAGACCGGACACTTCGTACATTAGCATGACCAACTCCTACGACTTCCACGAACATTGTACCTTCCGCCCTTCGTAGACTAGCATTGGCCGGGCGCCTGCTGTATGCACTTGTCACTATACTGTATAGCGTGAGTGGCAAGCCAGGAAAGTACGAAGGGCGAGCTGGGGGCGGCTGGGACGGTTCACCGGAAGAAGGTGGAGAGTCGCGAGATTTCTCGGAAGACGAGACAGACGATAAGGTCGTAGAGGATGAGGTGGATGAGCCGTGACTACACGGGCGGGACGGCGCAGGGACGAGGTCGTCAATCGGCACCGAGACAAGTACTTCGGGGGTGATGTTGGCCGCGTCCAACAAGAGCGCGGACATAGGCGTCTCAACAGCTCAGGCAGGAATGTCGGCCTCAACCTCGCCCGAGGGCTCGTCGACTTTGGCATCCCCGACCTCTGAAAACTCCTCCCACTGCCACCTCGACTTGGACTTGGACTTACTGTCCTCCTCGTCGAGGTTGAAGACGGGACACAAGTGGGCATTGGACGGCGGATCGACGGGCTCGTTACGGTGGTTGAGCCAGACGACCTCGTCCTCCGCATCCTCGTCGGCATCTGAATCGTACAGCGTCACCCGTGTGCCATCAGCACACCCAGTTGCGCGCATGAACCCATGAATCAATGCATCCACTCGACTACCACGTAAATGCTTCTTCGTAATACTCGAGCCTGCCCGCATCCGTCGTGAGCGCGCCATACGCGTCCGCGACGGCGCGGCGCAAGTCGTCCATCATCTGTCCGGGGCCGCACGCGAGGATCGCGAGGCGGCCGGTATCGGCGCGCAGCGCCTCGACCTGTGCGCCGACGAGTTCGCGGATCGGCGGGCGCCCGCGCGTCAGCACGACTTCGCGCCGGCGCGCCCCCGCGCTGTGCGGGTCGACGGCGGCATACCCCGTGTCGAGGGGGACGTCGAGGGCGTCGAGCAGCGCGCGCGCGGCCACCGGCTCCTCCTGCGTGAGGTAGATGTCGAGGGAGGCGTGGCGTGTGCGCGCGGGCGCGAGCTCGTGCGCGAGCACGTCGGCCGCGTATGCCGCGTTGCGGACTGTCCAGACTATGCTGATGCGCTTCTTGGCGCTGTTTTCGCGCGAGAGGGCAAAGACGTACGGCAGGATCGCAGCGATCCCGCTGCCCCCCGCCAGGAGGAGGACGTGCTCGAACGGCTCGAGGTCGCACCGGTGCCCGTAGGGCCCTTCGAGGAGGACGCGGAGGCGCGCGGGCGGGAGAGAGGAGGTGCCGGGCGCCGCGAGGAGCGGCGCCGCTTCCGAGTCGGCGGCGAGCGTCGCCACGGCTTCCAGACGCCGCCGCAGGCGCCGCGTCCAGCCCTCCATCGGCGCGATGAGGAAATGGAGCGTCGTGCCGCCCCCAGGCGCCTTCTCCCAGCTCGCGAGCGTGAAGGGGTGGTTCTCCCACGGCGACAAGCTACGCGGCGAGTACAGGAAGTAGTAGTCGCCGGGGGCGGGGTTGATTGGCACGCTGGTGTCGACGCGCACGCGCATCAGGCCGGGGTTCGTGGCGGTGATGGCGCCGACGGCGTTGCGCTGCCCGAGCGTCTTGAAGGACAGCACGGCGACGCGCACAACGCGCAGCAAGCGGTCAAACGCCCAGATGCCCATGCACAGCCACACCCACGGGTCGTACCCGAACATCTCGGTGTGGAGGTACAGCAGGGCGAGGGTGGCGACGCTCAACCCGATGTGGAGGACCAGGAAGAGCTCGTACGCGTACTGCCGCAGCGGCAGGACCGAGAGGGGGATGAGCAGGCCCATGGCGGCCATGGCGCACACGCCGCTCCACCAGTAGCGCTCGGGCATGAAGGCCCAGAAGGCGCCCCATCGCAGCCAGATGTATGCGCACGAGTGCACGAAGGCTTGCACGACGGCGACGCGCGCCGTCCACCGGTGGAACAGGTTGAGGCTTTGGAAGCTCCATCCCGTCAGCCAGATGACGACGTCGTTGCGCCCCGCGAGCAGCCACAGCAGCACCATGTTGTAGAAGCTCATAATGCCCGTCCGGTCGCCGAGGTAGCGCGCAAGCTGGATCGACTCGGCGCCGGGCCAGAACATGTTGTTCGCAAACGTCTCGTACCCGTAGCAGCCCATGCCGACGTTGAGCGCGACGTAGATGAAGATCTGATGTGAGTAAGTCGGTGCGGGAGGGAATGCTCAAGCATGGCGGGCGTTGAAGTCGCAAGGCCAGACCAGTACAGCGGGTGACGCCCGTCAGCCCCTCGCACTCACCATGATCGCCTGCAGACGCGTCGGGATCGAGAGAATGCCCCATGGCTGCACGTGGCTATAGCCCATCATGGCTGGAGTCCCAATATGGCGGCGGTACCAAGTGTACGCGCGCGGCCATGGCGCGAGGACATTGCCTGTCCATGTAACAGCGCCACGCTTGGCAGCATGTGCAAGCAGACGGTTGCCTAGACCGACGAGCGTCATGCCCGCCAACAGTGCATACATGCACATGCCAAAGGCGTTGTGGAGGCGCATCTGGCGCGCAAACGCCGCCTGGGATTAGCGGCGCAACAAAACAACGCACATCAGTGTGGTACCCGTCGTCAAAGTTCTGCTGCGCGATAAGGATGGTGGACGGCACGACGGCGCCGCGGTCGGCGAGGCAGTCGACGACGCGCGGGGCGGCGGGCACACGCGCAAGCACGTCTTCGAAGCGCGGGATGGGCGTGCCGGGTGCACCGAGGTCGCGGAACGCGCCGAAGCGCTCCCAGCCCCACTCGATTTGCAGGGGCGTGCAGTAGGCGTCCATGCACGCTACGAGCGAGGTCATGTAGGACGGGCTCGCGATTTTGGCGCCCCATGTGGCGGGGCCGGGGATGTCTGCGAAGCGCACGAAGTTGAGCGGCAGCTGGCAGGCGGAGAAGCAGGCGCCGTGCTCCCCGACAAGGGTGGCGGCGGCGGGCGCCGCGAGGAGGGCCGCGGAGGCCAGAGCGAGGAGAGGCGGCATGGCGCGGGGACGCGGGCGCGAGGAGCGTGAGGAGGGGGAGGGAGAGGGGGAGGGGGAGTTAGAAAGCGGCGCCGCGCGCGCCGAGCGAGGGCTCATCGTGTCATGGAGTGAGGAGATGTCAAGAAGTGGGAAAAAGCGCAAAGATGCAAAGGTCTCATACAGATCACGCCGAGTGACCGGTGCGTGTTGGGTGGTTTTTATCAGATAGCCCTCGATCGGCCGAAGCCAAGCCGCCCCACATTCGCCCAGGCATCGGCCAATCATTAATCACCGTCCTCTGCCGAGCTGCTGCCAGGTGGTCATCAACTCGTACAGTAGTAATGCATGTAAAAGACGGGGGAGGGGGGCGAACATGAGGCAGGTCATTGCATGAGGCAAATTAGTGCTCTTAAATTCCGCACACAATGCACTTGGTCAAACATGATGTCTCGGCAGTGTGGCGCACGAGAATATATGCTCTGTATGCTCATAGCATCGGCCGCGCCACAGCTTCAAAGTCGGACGAGACACCCGAAGAGTTTGGCTCCGCACCCACCTCGCCGAGGCGAGAATTGTGTCTTTTGTGACCCTGCGTGCTCTGTGCAGCACATTCCGCGGCACACTGTCCCGCTCTTTCGCGCTCCGACATGGCCCCTCCCGTTGCCCAGTCCAACGCCTCGCCGCCGCCGCCGCTAACAAGTACTTCCGACCACTCGTGTTTTTACTAGAGCCCACCTGTACACGCCTATAGAAAATGTATAGGCACCAGCCTCTGGCGCACGCCAATCCCCTGGTGGCGTGCCTATTCCCACGCGCCCATCACGTCACGTCGATTCAGTTCACTTCCTCAACATCTTCATCACCTTCATCACTCTCAATTCAACATGAACACCTCGTACACGTCTATGGCGCTCGTGACGCCGTCGATCGCGAGCACGGCATCATATGAGGACGGCACCGAGTCTCCTGCATCGTCCTTGGTGGCGGCGCCGCCGCCGCCGTCGGGGGCGTCGAGGGCGTCGGTGGCGACTGATGATATCATAG